TGTTAGTCTTACTGGTTAGGGCCCCACTCCTGTGATCTCATTTCACTTTTAAGTTAGCTTCTTAACGACCCTGTTTTCAAAGAGGGGTGTAGGACATTGAAGGGATGAGGATGTAGTAGATAAACTTTGGGGAGACAGGTCAGTTGTAACAAGCATCATGTGCCTTTTGATAGGTTCTGAGAAACTTGGATTAATTTCTGATCTTTCTCCATACTACCTGAATCTATTGAGAAAAGTCACACTAACCAATATTACAATTTGTAGCATAGGGATCGTCTACTAAAGCATCGTCTGCTTTCATCCTCTATGCAGTGGGGTGGAGGTCATGAGAGGCCAGAAAACTAAGGAATGGTGCCATATTTACGACTGGAGAGGCATGGCAGTTAAATATAACTGTGATTCTGGATTGATTAAAGCACTTATTTGTTAGAATTAAGATTGAAATAAGGCTTTAAAATAAGATTTTAGTCTGAAAATACCACTCTGTCGTTGGTTGACAAAATCAGGTTGTTCTGTAGAATTTCCCGCTGCCTACATTTTGCTAATTGTGTTCTTCGAGTGATTTGATATGCTCTTTTACCTTCTGAATTACTTCCTGTGAGTTGATGGGTAGGCCTAGAGCACTGGCAAGACATTATTACTGGTAGAGATTTTATAGAGAGGATGGATACCTGGGACCCAGAATCCCTTGCGAGTTCTGTACTAATTGGTCTGAACTATTGACAGCAGGAATTTCAGAGCTCCCAACTGAAATTGGTAGAGTCAGGTTGAGTCCAGACTTAGATTCCATAGGCCAAACTCAGCTTTAACTTTTCCGCCAAATTAATTACAATTTAACATATTAATATAGGACTGTGGCACTGTCCTCCTGTTGTTCATCGATTTGCTGGAGCAGGCACCAGTAACATCTCCATTGTGAGACTTGTTACTGTTTTTGGCATACCGAATATGCCACGGGGAGCTTGCCAGGCTCTGCCGTGCGGGCGGGATTCTCTCGGTAGCTTGCCGGGCTTTCCGAAAAGGACGGAGGAATCGAACCCGGGTCAGCTGCATGCAAGGCAAACGCCCTTCCCGCTGTGCTATATAATATTAATTAATATGAAATAATGAACAGTTATATAAACAAATATCAAGGATAATGATATTTGTTTACATATCATACACTTACATAATAAATGTATTTAATTATACATTTACCTCATGGTACCTGGTGATTGTGACGACAACTGAAAGTTGAGAAGCATCACTTTTGATTTTTCCTTTTAGATGGTAAGATTAAGATAGTAACATTTTTGTGTTGATGACTTTGAGATATTAGTGGGAAACTCAGAATTTGCATATTCTGTGTGTTGGTGGATATTTCTGAATACTTAGTTATCCATTGAGCCTAGGATTTTTCTTTGGATTTTTCACTGTTTTAAGTGCTGTTAAACCTATTGCTGAGTTAAGTTGGTGTTTCATAAGAATGTGTTTACAGGACCTTTTCCTTTGTGCCAGTATTTCTTCATTGGTAAGGTAAAGGTAAAGGTAAAGGCCCTCCCGTTGATCGTCGATTTGCTCGAGCGGGCCCAGTAACGTCTCCATTGGAGACTTTATTGTTACTGTGTTTGGCATATCGAATACTCTCGGTAGCTTGCCGGGCTCTCCGAGAGGGGCGGAGGAATCGAACTCGGGTCGGCCATGTTGGCCGCTTGTAAGGCGAACGCCCTACACGCTGTGCTATCAGAACAGTAATCCTAACTCTTCTGCTTGAGACACTTGCCAACCTCCGCCCTGTGCCAGCAGTCTGATACCTGGAGAACTGCAGTAGGGGCAAATGGACTTTTCCTGCTTGCATGGCTGGTACATTTGCCAGTAGAACAGTTTCTGGTGATTAGAACCCTTTATATCAGTACTTTGAAAAGTGAAGTTTAAATTTGCCTAGTTCCTGTACCAGATAAGCTAGTTCTTGGGTGATCAAATAATTCACCCGATCACCTCTCATCTTTTTTGCATCATCAGTGAAAGAACACTTACATCGTACAGGTACATTAGGATAACAATGATATTTGTTTACATAATTGACCAATGAGATAGGAAATACCAGTATCACCTTTGGCACCTTTGATGCTTGCTGTTACTAAGGACTTTTTAGAGGACACAAAAATAAAAGCTAGATGAAGATCTGGAGTGGTCAGGGTGAGGCAAATGCATAAGTGTTATACCATTAGTGTTGCTTTGGGGAAGGGAGCCAGTAATTTGAGTACCCACTTTATGCCAGATACTGTCCCATACATGTGTTATAAATAGTCGCTCTTTTAGTTCTTCTTGAAATCAAAGTTATTACCACCCCCAGATTTCCACTGAGGGAAAAAAAGACGCTGAAATTTGATAACTTGTTTAGACTTACACATGTGTGACAGGACTTAGAATTGGGACTGTGGTTTGGGATCTGTCATGTCTAACTCAGACCAGAGCAGTTTTCAAAATGTGGTCCCTGGGCACATGACTTGATAATTGGTTAGAAATGGCACTTTGGGTGCTTATGCAGAGGGGGCTTATGTGGTAGAACACATTCCTTGTATATGTGAGGCCTTGGGTTTGATTCCCCAGTACCACATGTCTGACTTCTGAGCACCATCTAGTGAGTCTCACACCCTTTCACTGCAGCTCTGTCATAAAAAAAAATGCACTTTCTGGGACCTGTGCGGGCCTGCTGAATAATGCTGATCTTGAAGCCCCATAACCATTGTATTAACATGCCCTCATGGTGGTTCTGACGCTCAGTTTTAGAGAATCACTATATAAAGTGTCAATCCCTCCTCTCTCATGCTGTAAAGGTCTTGCTTAAAATACTGGCTTATCTTTGCTAGAACCTCGACGTAGTACTTAAAAGGAAACTTATATTTGAAGTTAAACTGGGGCCTAGAACTTGATTCTGTCTTCCCAGCTCAGCCGGGGGTGTTTGGTGTGGTACCTTTTAAACCAGCTCAAGATCTCCCCAGAGGAATTACACGAAGACAAGTTGCAATGCAATAATCAAAGGGTCTTTATTGATTAGCTTGGCTAGCTCGAGCTAGGGCCCTCATCCGGCTCACTGATACAGTGGCAGCCTTCTCAAAATGAGCGGCTCTAGTCTCAAAAGTGAGGGGCTTTTATACCATAGCATTATATAACAAGAACTTTCCTCGCTCGGACCACCCTTTGGGCCATAATCTGAGGAGGGTTTCCACTACTTGTACTTAGCTGATTGGTTATAAGTTAGACGTATATAAGGGTTATGTGAGGGGGTTTCCCTACCTGCATCTGATTGGTAACTCTTAGTTGACCTCACCTTGGCTATTTCACTTCAGGGAAATAATGACTCAATTCCCGGGATCTGTGCTCAATTCAATGAATTCTGGAACTGAAACCTAGGCCTAGCTTCCTCTGGCTTCTTTATGAGCTGTCTTAGTGCTGCCCTTGCTTCTCTATTTCACATGATCCTAGATTTAAAAGCTGGAACTTCTATGTCACTTTGTGCTTTTCTTTGTATTTATCTTCTCTACATTTATAATGGCACGGTGTGGTTTGAAAGTTCTTAAGCTGTTTTCCTATTCTCTGTTAAATGTGGAAGTGTGCTCAGGTCTTTCCAATTAAATTCCTAGCACACTACTTGATTTTATCTCTAGATATCTTTCACATGGTTATAAGATGTCTTTCTGATTGCCACTGAAACTTAGAAAGTTTTTATTATCAGGAATTGGGGGGGGGGGATGTTGTTTCCCTCGAATTTAGACAATATTTTATTTAGGATATTAGCGGAGAAGGGCAAGGTGCCTCCCATTGTATGAGGGGATCTCCTAAGTAGAATTCTCTTGACCTGAAAGTTTATAATAGCCCTTTTTCTATCAGATAATTTCAGGACTTTATTTTGATGAAATAAGGGTCATTTGTCTTCAATTTCTTCAAAATATTTGACTGCTGGTATCCTGAAAAGTGGAGAAATACTTCTGCTCTTTAAAGTTCTTAAACTGCACAGCATGCCTCTCACTACATGTTACTAGAAAACACTGCAGAACTCAGGCACACTGAGGAAACTTTTTTCACAGCTATTCACCATTTTTGGAGTAAACCCCAATTTTTTTAATGAATAGATTATTATACTCATAATAGGATTAGCTGATTCTTTTATCTCATTTGTTTTAAAGAGGGATATACTTTTCCTACAAGTCCTGGCCATTGAGGTTGAAAACATTCCACCTGGCAGCGGGAGGGCCCTTCAGCTCCACCATTGCTTCAGTCAGCACATGTGGAGAGCTGTTTGCTTGACAAGGTGTCAGGAATGGGAAACTCTGGTCTCACTTTCTTCTACCTTCGCATCTTGTCTGTACAGATTCTCAGCACAGGACTCAAGACAGGTCTGAACTGGGAATTTCTGAAATTGCCAATGTTTTTCTAGATCTGGCTAATGAAGCAGAGCCTGCAGGTGTCGCTTTCTCTGACTCCGCTTGCTTACAACCTTTTTGCTAACCTTTGCGGCATCTCCTTGGCTGCTTTATGTGTGTCCACTTAGAGTGGGAGTAGATTTGCTATCATGGTACTGGTGTAGAGTAGCCAGGTACCCTTTCTGCATGGGAAAGAAATGAGTTACGCACAGGATAGTTAAAATGGAGAGAGCTTAGCTGTTCCCTACCCCTCCTGTTAAACATTAATGAGTTCAGATGATTCTGATTAGGGATTTGCTTGGGAGTCTGCTTTGCTTTTTACTGTCTCCTTTGGTGTAGAAATAGTATCTTAATTATTTAATGTGAAAATTATTTTGTGTTCTAACTGGTACGAATGACTTAACTTTGGAAGTGTGCTTTTTGGAAAATAGCACATGGTTACTATGAAATTGTTTTAGGACTAGATATTCTGGAAAAATTTGTTTTCTAACTGTAGAAAATAAATTCCTGTGAATATCTGGTTTTCATTTATTCCAGACCGCAGTTGAAAATTTTGGTGTATTCAAATGTTTTTGCTTTGGTTTAATTTCCTAGGTTGCACGTTTTCAAAAAATACCTAATGGTGAAAATGAAACAATGATTCCTGTGTTGACATCAAAAAAAGCAAGTGAACTACCAGTCAGTGAGGTTGCAAGCATTCTCCAAGTAAGTGTTTGGTGGGGAAGTTGGGAGGAGATAGTTAAATGATACACTTACCACCCTGCAAGCCATTTAGACCCCATGTCCAATGGAATATTCTTTGATTAAAGAAAGGTTGTGCAATGCCAGTTCACAGCCACTGATTAAATACTCTTCTTGAATACTGAGTACGTGAGGTTTAGATAGTATAGGGTAGTTTGAATTCACTGAACCTGATTTTATTTGATGTGTGTGAGTGCTGAAGGCCACACCCAGCTCTACTTGGGGTTTATTCCTGACTCTGCTCAGGAATCACTTCTGGTGCTGCTTGGGGGACCATATGGGATGCCGGGAATCAAATCAGGGCCAGCTGTGTAAAGGCAAGGGCCTTAGCCCCATACTTTCTCCTTGCCTCTGAATTTGTTTTAAAATTTAAGTATCAGTGTGACTAAATATAACTGGACAGTGCTATTCTAGATTATTGACTATGTAAGGATTAGTTGGATTAGCAAAGTAAAAAATTTTTTCTTTTTGGGTCACAACCGACGATGCACAGGGGTTACTCCTGGCTCATGCATTCAGGAATCACTCCTGACGGTGCTCAGGGGACCATATGGGATTCTGGGAATCGAACCAAGTTCGGCCGCGTGCAAGGCAAACACCCTACCCGCTGTGCTATTGCTGCAGTCCTGCAAAATAAATTATTAACTTAAGTAGGGTTAGGAGGTTTTTAAAAGAATTGTTTTCTAAGCTAAAGCAAAAACAAAGTATTAGTTTAGAGCTATAAATAAACTAACTCTTTAAGGAATATAATATGTTAAAGATATATATATATATATGTATTTTTTTTTGGTGGAGTGCTCCCCCAGTGGTGCTCAGAGATTCCTCCTGACTTTGTGCTCAGGGATCACTCCTGCAGGCTTGGGGTAACATATGGATTGCTGGGGATTGAACTCGGGTCAACTGCTTACAAGACAAGTGCCCTACCTGCTATCGTGTGTGTAGCCACCTGAATCTCTTAATTTGAAAAAGTACAGTTCAAGAGTATTAAAAAAATTTCCTTCAGGATTTATGTGTTTTGGGCCAGGGAGATGGCTCAGAGGGCTGGACTCATGTGTACCACATGGTCCACGGAGCACCCCTGAATATGCCCACTCAACCCCACTAAAAGAAAGAATTGGTATGTTTTAATGATGACATTAAAAAAATCTTTTAGCTGTTTTCATTGTTGTATTTTTACTGTTTTAAAATGGATTATTAAGTGTTGTGGTTTATTTTTAAACTTTTATTATAAAACTTTTGACCAGAAAAGCTAATTATTTTAGGGGTAGAGATAATTTTTTCTTGAATAATAGTTGTAATAATACATCTTAAGAAATAGTGACTGATGATGTAGATGGTGTTTAAAGATTATAAAGTGTATTCATTATTTTCAGTTAATTTAGGAATTTAAAATTTTCTGCTTGAAATTGTGAGACAACTGAAGAGCAAAAAGTAATCCCACCCTCACGGTTTGGATTGCTGAGAACAAGGCATAGTCATTGAATGCTCTTTTGGAGGAACTAATTTTAGAAAACAACAAAATGACAAAGAGAACAAAAAGCTAATTGAATTGTACTGATATTTTCTTCCCTAAAATCTTGTGGTTGCTTTGTGTTTTTTCTTTTTCCCTAAACTAAGTTTTTAGTTTAATAAGCTCTATTGTGTTGCTTACATGAAATAAAACACCAAAGTTTTACGAAAATTTAGTTGCATAAAATAGAATATACCCATATTACACATAGTTTTCCTTCTGAAATATAACTTCCACCACAACTAAGATACATAACTTTTAAAAAGTTACTCATAAAAGTCCTCCCATATCCCATTGTAATTAAACCCTGCCAGAATATTACTCTGGGCACCATATAATCACTACTATGCTTTCTTTCACTATAGAGTATTTTTGCCTGTTGAGGTTCCAGTTAATGTGATCATACAGTAAGTGCTGCTTTGTTTATTTTCTTTCACTCTCTAACATCTTCAATTACTTTCATATGTAAAATCTAATAGGCTGATCTTCAGAATGGCCTGAACAAAAGTGAAGTTAGTCATAGGCGAGCGTTCCATGGCTGGAATGAGTTTGACATCTGTGAAGGCGAACCGCTATGGAAGAAGTATATTTCTCAGGTGGGATATTTTCGCTGCTCTTCCCCTATATAATTGTATGTGCTTTTGTTAGTGTAGTAGCTTACTTTTGTGAAGTTATGTCAAAGAAAAGGAACAATTTTGAAATATATGTAAAAATGCCCTTTTGTAAGAATTTAATGTAATACGTGAATTACATTGGTTGAAATTTTTTTTTTCATTTAAAAATATTTTTATTTGGGCAGTTCGATTTATAGGACTGTTAATAATAGTGTTTCAGGCATACATTTTTCCAACTCTAAACTCACCACCAGTGTCCGCATCTTTCTTTCTGTGACACAAAGTTCTCTCCCACTCCTCACCCCCTACTAGCTAATCAAACTCATTTTGAAAATTTATATTTAAAGGTTGGAATTTCTATACTTTTTAGCGTGCAAATCTTTATTTTAATTTTTTAAATTTTTTGCTTTTTGGGTCACACCTGGCGATGCACAGGGGTTACTCCTGGTTCATGCACTCAGGTTTTACTCCTGGTGGTGCTCGGGAGACCATATGGGATGCTGCGAAGCGAACCTGGGTTGGCCATGTGCAAAGCAAATGTCCTACCCGCTGTGCTATCATTCCAGCCCCTAGCTCACAAATCTTTTTAGCATGCACCCATGAACATAATACCACATGGAGGTAATAATAAATGAAATGACTATTTATTTTTAGTAATAAATTATTATAAATTATTATTAGTAAAAATTACTATTTATTATTAGTAATTTATTATTACTGATAATAGTGGTATATGTTCATGGGTGCATGCTGAAAAGATTTGTGTAAATACCTAAATGCCTTTAATGTAGGGATACAAATAGTTTTTAAAAGCAGTTTGACCAGCTTAGAAAATTAAGTGAAAATAATATAGAAAAATATAAGATAGAAAATTTGATACAGACTGCTAGATATCAGTTCTACTTTTCTTACTAGTTGTATGAATTATACTATCTTTTTGAGCCTTCTATGTAAAATGTGTAATTTTAGCAAATATAAATCTATTAATAGATGTTAGTGATTTTAAATTATATTTTATCAGTGTCCAAAGACTTACTCTAAGATTAGAGTACTCTAAGACTTACTCTAAGACCTTTAATATGCTTTAATCCTCATATTCTTGACAGTACTACATTATCTGAAACTTCGTGAAGTTTATTCTGGATTTCTAAACTGAAAAGATTGGATTTATCACTAGCTATAATGATTAAATGTTTTTTATTTTCTTGGGCTGGAGCGATAGCATAGTGGTAGGGCGTTTGCCTTGTGCGCAGCCAGCCCGGCTGAGCCGGGTTCAATTTTTCTGCCCCTCTCTGAGAGCCCGGCAAGCTACCAAGAGCATCTTGCCCGCACGACAAAGCCTGGTAAGCTACCCGTGTGACGTATTCGATATGCCAAACACAGTAACAATAAGTCTCACAATGGAGATGTTACTGGGCCCGCTTGAGCAAATCGATGAACAGTGGGAGGACAGTGTTTGTTTGATTCTGTTGGATTGCGTTGTAGATTAGCCGTGAAGAGGAATTGATAATATTAATATATAGTTAAGCTTGAGAAACAACAGTAAATGGCAAGTGGCAATCCTCACATGTTGGGCAGCGTTTCAGAGGCACTGAATATGGTCCGCAGGCACTGGAAACGTTCACCTCTCGAGACATGTGTTTGATGGCACAGGTTTTTAAGGGAAAAGTCTGAAAAAGCCATGGACCCCCTAATCAGAATGTGATGCTAAAAGTTGAAAAGGGTCTTATGGTTTACAAGAAATACACAGTCTTAATCTTTCCCACAGTCTCTGGTATGATACTGTTTTACCAGATGAGGAGTCACAGGTTTAGAAAGATAGGAGGGCCATACCTAAGTGCAGGACTGGGTTCACTCACAGGTACTCTGACTCAGGTGTGTGGTTTGTCAGCCCACTGCAATTAGAGTAACTAATTGCAGTTGTAATTTTACTTTGTTGGAAGTTACTTTTCAGTGCTTTATCCCAGTGAAACCATCCAGTGCATTTGGATGGGGGATATTTTCTATTTATTCATTTAAAGAAGGTAGATTTCCAGGGGGTGGCTGAGTAAGTTCCTTTCTGCAAAGGGGATGGCAGTAGGCCAGATAAGTTTGAGAACCTCTGCTTTCTGCTTTAGAAACAGTTGAGGAAAGCTTGAAAATTGTTGAAATCTGGGCCCTCTGCCCAGAGATTGTGATTTGATTGGTCTGGTGTGAACCTGGGCATTTGTCAGGAGTACGTCACAGGATTCTGATGGGAAGCTGTGCTGAAACAGAGCCAGAGGACGGGAGGGAGTGGCAGGTGTTAGCATCTAGTGCTGGCTCCATGGTGCCCAGGGTGCTGGGTTCGCAGCTGGAATGAATTCTTTGCAGCCTGGTTGCTTTGCAACTTTGGTAACAATTGGCAGCATTTTATCAGAGGAGGAGATTCTGGCAGCAGAGCTCTGATCTTTGAGTAATAGGGTGCCCAGCTGGAAGCATTTGGTTCTTTCCTTGAGCAACCTTTTGTTGTCTCTGTGAGATAGCAGAAAACCTGGAATGGGAGTATCTTGAGCATCCTCCCTGAAGAGGATCTGTCTTCTCACAGCTGCCCCGGAGGGTTATCCCTGAGTTAAAGTGGTCTGATCTCAGGATTATAATCTATACTTGTACGAGGAATGCTTATTTAAATCTCATAATTTAGGCATTTTGTTCTTAGTATTTAACATTAATTTTTAGTTTACAAATAATTTTCTTACCACCAAACTTTAAAATGTTTCCGATAATGTGGCAAGTTGTATTGGGTGAGGGTGCGGTTGGGGGGAAGAGGAAGAATCTTGGGGACACTGGTAAGGGGAGGTTGACACTGGTGGAGGATTTTGTGCTGAAAAGTTACATGTCTGAAACTCAACTCAGTAACTTTGTAAATAATGATCTTTAATAAAGAAATAATTTTCTTATTCTAGCCTCAGTATAAATTCAATAGCACTACAGTATTTATTAAATTATTATGCTATAAAATGTACCTGTACTGTAAGAACTTAGTAATTTCATAGTTTTAAGTATTGATCTTATTTTCTTCTGAAAAGGAGCTGTTACGAAATAGTGCATTTCAAATATAGCACTTTTGATTAAAGATATTTTTTAATTAAATGTAGATATTTATAATTCTCTAATTGTGCCCCAGTAGAATTTTCTTTTGAAAGCGTTTTATATAATGGAATGAAAGTGCCATTCAGGTAAAATGGTTAAAAATTTGTTTTTATTTTCAGTTTAAAAATCCCCTTATTATGCTGCTTCTGGTCTCAGCAGTCATCAGTATTTTAATGCATCAGTTTGATGATGCTGTCAGTATCACTGTGGTAAGTAAAAAATTAAAAAAAATTTTTGATCAAACATATATATTAGAATTGGTTTTAATATTGGAAAGAAAATTAAGAAATGTCTGGATTTTCTTCAAGACTTTTTGGCTAATATTTTCATTGTTAGCTATCAGATTCTGCTTTCAGTTGCAGATTTTGAATTTTATTTGCAAAAATGTTAAGGGGTGCCTAGTTGGCATATGTCATTATTTAACTGTCTCTTAATTTGACAGATACGAATTTTGGGAGGGGTGATCGGGGACTTTAGGTATATACCTGGTGGTGCTCAGGGCTGTTTTTGAAAATGAGAAAACTATGTCACTTCAAGTTTTTGTTCAAGAATTTGTTACCAAAAATTAAATTCCTGTCAAGTTACGATTAGAATTTTACAAGGCTTTTTGTGTGTGCTGGATAGTTTTCTCTGTATTGAATCTAATCAGATTCAGTGTTGCTATTAATAAATGTGGTTGGTTTTTAAAAATTGTTATATCATTACAAAATGTTCCACATTTGAAATACTTTAATAACCAACATTTTTATGACCAGAGTGCTTGATTTCACACAGTTTTTAGTGGTATAAATTTACCTGAGAATGCAAAGAGATGAATAGATTTTAATGTGCATATTTAGAAAGTTCATTTTAGTTTTAGGTTCACCTTGCAGGTTACCTTTGAATAAATAATACTTGACTGATTTTATAGTAGTAGATAAGAATATGCACAGCTACCTAAAAGACCTATTCAAGTATTCCTTCTTTTTCCAGCAATATTTGGATATGGCTGGATTTTCTTCATATGCTTCAATGTTAGTAACGTTATAGTTAATTGAATGCAAAAGCAAATAGGAGATCCTAGTCTTCTATTAATATATTTCTATTAAGGTTGAAGACAGAAACATTTACAACAGTCACTTTTCTCAATTTTGGGGGGTGGCCGGGGGAAATAGTTTTTATAAGTGTAATAGTATTAACATGTTAGGAGTTCATTTTTTTCAGATGCATTAAGAAGTCAAGTAATTGGAAAAGTTTAGTAAATATCAGTAGATGTAGCCCACATAAACAGAAGCTGGCTCAGAATTCGTAAGAGAAAACGGATCTTGAGGCCAAGAAGTTTGATGAGCTGTCCAGGGGGTTGGGGGCAAGCCATCAGAATTATGACTTTTGAAGAAGCTGATCCCAGTGTTTAATATGTGGTATTTTGGGATTGCAGGTAGTTGAAAAAATTAAATGGGATTAATAATTAGGATGGAATTTATGTCTGATTTGGAAATGTTCCTTTGTTTTATTTAGGCAATACTTATCGTCGTTACAGTTGCCTTTGTTCAGGTGAGTAGGTATCTGGTTTTAGTTAATTGGTTAAGGTTGCTTATGACTAGTTACATTAGGAGGACAGTGGCAATTTACTTTTTGTTTTTGAAATAATTTCAGATATTGACACCTGTGCAGGGAAGTTTGTGGAACTAGCCTACTTTGATTTAGGTAGTAGCATGAGGAAAACCTGTTTTTGTTTGAATATTTGGAGGGACCTCACTTGACTGTGCTCTAGGAATGCTCCTGGTGTAGTGTCCAGGATTTCCTCCTGGTGGTAGTTTGGTACTTTGGCGATGGTATAGTGCCAGGGATTGAACCTGGGGCTCCCACATTTGAAGCCTGTGTTTCAGTGCTTTGAGCTATTTCCCTGGCATCCGAAGTTTAGTTTTTTAATTTGATGTTGTTAAAGATAATTTTAAAAGATGGAAACAAAATGCGTGGTAATAGAAATAAAATCAGTAGATTTTAGTCTTTTTCCAGTTACAAAAGCATTTAAAGAAAAGGTATTTTGATGAGAAAATTACTTATTTTGGGGGCATACTACTAGTCAGTATTTTTCTTTTCCTATAAATAACTTGGCCTTAGGTTTGAACATTAAATATTCAAGTGTAGATTGGGATTATTTAGTTCTCAAAATTACTTACTATAATACTATTTATTAGGAATACGATTTTATGAGTAGGACTCTCATTGCAAGTAAAAAATAAGAAAAGGGATGGGAGATTTTTGTGAATGAAGTATTTAGTTTTAATGTGGAATATAGTGTATGCATACATTTTTTATTTTCTTTGTAATGTTTTTTTTACTATGATTGCTTTGTATTTTTTTGAATAGGAGTATCGCTCAGAAAAATCTCTTGAAGAACTGAGTAAACTTATGCCACCAGAATGCCATTGGTATGATCTTTGTTTCTTGTATGGATTTACACACTTAAAGTTAGAAGTTGGTCTATGAGACCCTGAATTTTGATCCTTGGGACATTTTACACTGTAGTCCCAGATTTCTTTTCATGGAAGGTAAAATTCAATAACCAGTAATCTGAAAAGAGACATGCATGCTCTATTCAGTGTGACAGAGTGTTCTACAGTACTTGCTTTGCATGCTGGCAAACCCAGTTTGGTCTCTAGTACTGCGTATGGTCAACTTAAGCACCACCCGGGGTGATGCTGGGCATGACACCTCCCACCACAACATCCCCAATAAAGTTAAAAGTACTGATTTTGGTTTTGAAACTCCTTAGAAATGGATGTATTACCTGCTCTCTTTATGTGTGCAGCTTTGTATGTGCACAGTTCACACTGTGAAGCACAAACAGACCCAGATGATTCCAAAAGTTGCTTCTTTTTTTTTCTTTTTGCATCTTAATAGCTTGCCAGATTTTCTAGTGCATTTTTTTTTTATTTTATTTAATCTGAGTAGCTTAATTACCTAGAGCTCCAAAATGATGTTTCTTGGTTTATACTTCACGTAAGGGGTAATAATTCTATGTATATTCCCTCAGGAAAGCCCACTGGAAAAAAATTTTTTTTAATGATTTGGCTTTCTTTTCTACCCATGGTTATTTGTATTTCATGATACAGTGTACGTGAAGGGAAATTGGAGCATACACTTGCACGAGACTTGGTTCCAGGTGATACGGTTTACCTTTCCGTTGGGGACAGAGTTCCTGCTGACTTACGCTTGTTTGAGGTGAGTTTCCGGTATTAGTCTATTTGAGATGCAAAAGCAAAGTTCCACAGACTGGTTAGCATAGAAGCTACAGAAACATTTCTCACAGTGTTAGTGGTTGAGAAGTCAAAAAATTAAGGCAGCAGCAGCAGCCTGGTTGCTTTCTGAAAGGGAGTTCTTCCTGAAATGGGCAAGGATATCTCTGGGTTCTCTTTGATAAGAACCATTTTGGAGAACCTACTCTTGTGACTTACTTTTATGCTTGGGTGTTTTTAGCATAGAATTTTAGCATATGAATTTGGGGTGGGGCGGGGGTTGTGTGGGAACCACATTTATTTCTCAGCATTTGGGAAATCTACTTGGGGAGAAGTGAAACTATTTTGCAAGAGATAAAAAAATCCACATTAGCAGGAGGGTTTTGTTGTTTGGGGTTCAAATTTGGCTGCGTTCAGTGCTTACTCCTGACTTTGTATTCAGGGTCACTCCTGGTGGTATTTGTGATTTGGGTGGTACCTATGTGATTTCCAGGGATTGAACTGGGGTCGACTGTGTGCATTGGCAAGCTTTTTAACCTCATTGTTAAATTACCTGTCTGGCCCTGATACTAGCAGTTTTAAGAATTAATATAGTGTTGTTTGGGTATTCAGTTTTATAGTTTAAAACGTGACATTTATAGGCATGCTTATGATTTTACCCTTAAAAATAAATGGTATGTCTTTACCATAGAGTATTCAAGTGTCGCTTCAGTGAACCAAATATTTAAAAATTTTGTTCTTATTTTGAACTACACCTAGACAGTCCTCAGGGCTTACTCCCGACTTTGTACTCAGGAATCACTTCTGGTGCTACTGAGGACCATCTGCAGTGCTAGCGATTGAATGAAGGACAGCTGTGTGCAAGTCAAGCACCTTACCTGTTTTGTACTCTTCTCTGGACCCAGTGAATCAGATCTTTATGGAAATGTGTTTCAGGCATGAAGAGAGATCAGAATGATTGAATTCATTGGATTTTTCTGAATGAACTCTCTGAATATGGAGCATACTATTTACACATACAAATCATTCACCATAAAATGAAAAAACACCCTATAAGTACAAAGAATGGAGTTTGGAAATTTAGGAAGTGGTTGCTTCTGATTTAAGTGAAATTAGAAAGTGTCTAATTTGGCTTTGGAAGTGATAGTAGAAACGACATGGCTTTGGAAGTGATAGTAGAAAGTCTGGGCAGAGAAGAGAGTAAAGGAACAGAAATTAGATCACCGAGTATTCTAATATCTGTACTGTGTAGAATATATTAAGAACAGAAAATGTCTAATGGATTCTGATTCAGAAGGACCATGGATATGAAATTACACATTAGGTATTATTGGCAAAGAATTAAACTCAAAGCTCATGTGCAGTTTGCAAAAGGATGCAATCTAACTATAGTGTGAGGGATATATTGAAGGTGGTGGAAAATGGAGTTAGGAACCTAGTTTGAGACCCTGAGAACTCATTAGCATACTATTTGTGCTTATTGAAATTAACAGACTACCTACCATTTATAAGCACCTATAAAATTTGTCAGTGTTTGTATACTTAATTATGTTGTAAAATTAGTCTTCTTATGTAGAGGTTATGGAAAGCGTGAGGAATCTTAGGAACTATGTTGAGAACATACTTATTCCTGGAATAAAGGACTCTTTCTCTATGTAACATATATCCTTCAAAAGATAATAGATTGCATTACTTGGGTTATGAAATGATTGGTAATAGCAAATATTAAGAATGTTAAAAAATTTTGTTATTTCCTCTCCTTTTAGTGGTCTATAAAAATCTTTTCTAAAAGCTCATTATCTCTCTTGTTAGTTTCATTATTTAGTTAATGACAAGACCTTGGATTATACTTCCTTAGGTATTTTATAGATGTGTCATTTGATATAAATAAATTTCTCCAAAGAATTTTAGTTGAATTCATGGAGTTTGTTATTTATTTATTCAAAATGGAGTTCTTCCAATCTATCATCTCTTCAGATATTTCCAGCCCATTTCCGTTTCTTTTTTTCCTTTATGGAGGCCCATACTGTGTATATTAGTATGTTTGCTGGTGTATCCACAGATTTCATGTGCTTTGTCACTTTTGTTTGTTCCCTTCTGCCTTTCAGAATGATTAATCTCACTTTTCCAATCTTCAAGTGCTCATTTGAATCCACCTAGTGAAATTTTCATTTTTTTATACTTACCTGCATCAGGAATCAGGATTTCTATTTCTTTCATAAGTTTTTTGTTTATTGATATCTCTTGTTAATTCATTGCTTTTTCTAGTTTCCTTTGCCTATGGCTTCCTTTTAATTCATTACTGAACATTTAAAACAGTTGATCTAAAGTCTTCCTATTCAGTGCTTGCCTTTCTTAGGTATAGTTACTCTCAATTTTTTTTTCTACGAATAATCCATATCTATATGTTTTTTATATATGCCTTGTAAATTTTTTGTTGATAAAACTTGGTGTTTTACATATTATGATGTCATTTCTCTGAATATAAGTCTCCTCTTCCTGAAGATTTTTTTGTTTGTAGACCACACCTGGCAGTATCTGGGCTTATTCCTGGCTCTGTACTCAGCTGTTATTCCTGGTGGTGCTCAGGGTACTGTATGTTGTGCTGGGGACTGAACCATTGGCAGCTTGCCAGACAAGTACCTTCATCACTGTGCTCTCTTCTCCAGCCCGAAAGTTTGTTTTTGATGGCTGAGGACTGCAGGGGTTCAGTGTGTCTAGTGATTTGTTCAGGTTCTTTTTAGCGAAGGTCATGTTCCCTGTAATATATTGTCACTAAAATTTCTGTTGCTTTATTTGAGTAGTCAGCCATACCCCTCTGGAGGCCAGAAGGGGTGGGATAAAACTCTTCTTGCTGTCTTTGTACTTTGTTTCAGAGCTTGAACATTTCTCCAACTCAGAGCTAACTAAGCTTCCTTCAATACTGTCTTCCCCTCTACCTCCTGCTTGCATCAAACCCATAGGTTCATTATGGTTACAAGTCTACCGTCCTCTCCAGCTTTCTGTGTATGTATCTGGTTTGAGGGGATGCATACACACTGTTTGTGCTGGTGTACATAGGTCCTTCCAAGCCCTAATGCTTTCACTGCATTTTCTTCCTTTCCAGTGTTTCTTGTATTTGCTGCTTGACTTGTTCTGTCCCTGGACTTATGGCAGATCCCTTGATGGGCATTCTGACTGGGCAGGGGTGGGATATCGGGTTCAGTCTCTGCTCTTGGCCATCAGGACTGTCGAACAGGTGAAAACACATAAACACTGTACTTTAAGAACAGATTCTCTTTTCACCTTTGCCCATCAGTCCAGCCCACCAGAAACATAGACTTCTGTTCCCATAACTTCTGAAACCATGTGGATGGAACATGATAGACAGGAAAACAAAAGTGCCATATGCTTTCTTTCCAAAATTCACCTTTTATTTTTTCAATTTGACTGCTCTTCTAATTACTTTGTATTTTTTTATTTTAGAGTTGTCAGCAACTAGAGTTTCCCAGCAAGTGATTATTTTAATGGAGGGATAAATCTTTAGTGCTCCACTCCACTGTTTTCTGGGAAGTTATTCCTGAATTATAATTATTCCCCTTAATGATTTATTACTGAAACACTGTGAGTTTTTCTGTTACTATTTTTGTTTGGGGACCATACCTGGAGATGCTCAGGGGTTACTCCTGGTTCTGTGCCCAGAAAGTACTTCTGGTGGTGCTGTTGGGACTTTATAGAATGCCAGGGATTGAACTGGGTTGCCACATGCAAGGGAAACACCCTACTATCTTTCTAGCCCTTTTTTGTTTTTGTTTTTTGGAGGGGGGCACATCTGGCAGTGTGCAGGACTTATTCCTGGCTCTGTGCCAAGGGTCACTCCTGGTGGGTTCAGGGGATTGGTTGTATGGGATACCAGGGATAAAACCTGGGTTGGACAAGTGTGAGACAAGTGCCCTGCCTGTCCCCTAACACTTTGTATTTTAAACTGTTTGAATTATTGAACTAATAAGCATACTTAAAGAACAGTTTATATAGGAAATAGAGATTTTATATTGGCTGTCAGAAGAAATTAATAATGAGAAAGACTATACCATATTGATGGAATTGAGAAATATTTTTGTTAGCTAAAATCTGATGTAATTACTTGCATTTGACTTTAGATGCACATTTCTGTGATAGTTTAATCATTATATGGCTTAGAAAATCACTGTTCTTACACCACTGGGAGTATTTGTTCTCTGATTATATAAAGTTAAGCTCTACTTAGTATTTTATTGACTTTTTTTTTGGTTCAGTAACTTAAAAGCAGTGTTAACTGAGGAATGCTGTTGGTGTTTAAAATGCCAAAAGGAAAAAATTTTCTCATTAAGCTACTAGAATTAAAAAAGACAGTATGGGTAGGCTCACAGTGAGACTTTTAATTAGAGCCTTTGTTTTTGTTGTTGAATCTGTTTTGGGACCACACCTGTCAGTGCTCAGGGCTTACACCTGGCAGTGCTCCGGGATCATTCCTGGCAGTGCTTAGGAAACCATATGGAGTGCTGGGGACCTAGCCCACATTAGCCTATTGCATGGCAAACTCCCTACCATCTGAACTATCTCTTTAGCCCTTAGAGCCTTTGTTTTAAGATTATATTTTATGTTGGTAGAACTGTTGCAAAATTGGATTTCTTTTGGGAAATTTTTCTTAACAGCTTTAGTGAAAACCTATAGAAACCATTACAGGAATGCTGGTCTTTAAATTATTGCAGTTTCATCAAATTAAATCTGTATACTTTAAAGTTTTTGCAAGTTAATTTTTATCCTATTATTTACCATGGGATAAAATGTGTTTAATGCCCTTTTCAGTAATATGTAGTATTTGTTTGATTGGGCTTTGATTGTTAGTATAATAGAGCTCATGAAGAATTTAAAATTATATTTGCCTCATTTGAATAAACAGTAAAGGAATCTTAAATTTAAGGGAGCAAAAGTAAAAAATTTCAATCATTTTTATTTCTAGTTGATATTCAGATTATAGATTCAGATGCATCCTGATTCTTATTATTATTCTGACTTTTGAATTGTGTTGTATCTTATTCACACCTCTGCCACAATGCCTGAGGAGAATTGAAGCCTCATCAGTTTCCCTAGTCATTAGCAGACTCACTCTCTTCTCCAGGTCTACTGTTTCAACTTTTTGCCAGCAGGCATGGAGCCTGCAGATTGTATTTTATTTTATCTTACTCTTTCTCTCATTAACGCAGTGATAAATGACTCTGACATCTTTCTTCACAGATGACGTAAATTGTGGCTTTATTTTATGTAATAGGCATGCCAAAATTTTAAAATATCACTCTTCAGTAAACAATTGAGATCTTTGCAATATGATACACTATTTAGATGTGATTTCTCTGACAGTATATTCTTGAAATTTGAGTTTTATAATTTATAGAAAAAGATCTAAGCCACACACCCCCTTTCCATATCAATTTGTACGTGATTCACTGATGACTGTGATTTTAAAGATGATGTGCTTCTTTTTCTGTAGAAATACCTAATGAACAGAAAGTCTTACTTTAAAATGGTTTTTATGCTACTAAGGCTGGCACTGAAGATACAGGTTATAAGTATAGAAAATAAAGCTGTGCTCTTTCTTTTCAAAAAGATTATTCTTACACTCCTTGTCCTATGGGTGGGGGGAGGGTCAATATGGTGTTTATTCCTGTTTAAGGTTTGTAACATTTCAAATAAAATATCTTCAAAGACAACATTAAGTGTCACCCTCCTAGAGGATTTATGTAGAAGAGAAATTCCTCTGAATATGCCCCAAAAACACCTCTTAAAAGAGATTCTGGAATAAAATGAGTTCAAAAGTGTGGGGAACACTGTTCCAGCAATTCTCTAATTTTGAGGTGTGCATCAAAATTGTTTTAGAGGGCTTATTAATGCAGTCTTGTTATTTTTATTTTTTTTCCTCTGTGTTTGAGCATGAAGATTGACTTTATAAGAAATTCCAAGGCATAGTAGAGTAATGGTAGTTTTGCAGGATCTGTTGGGACTGCACTTGAAAAAACCCTGCTATTTTTGTACTCCTGTGGAGGTTTCTATGTTTCTACTCCATTCTATTGTATTCTGTGTATTAGGAAGCACTTCAGGAAGGAAAGCTATTTAATGCTTGACTCAGATTTTATAAATCTTACCTGGTCATCCCTTAGCAGTGAGTATAGTGAGTAAGGGTCAGTATGCAGACCAGCAACAGTTTCAATTGCAGTTTAGTCTAAAAGGCTGTTCAGGGGCTGGGTAGATAGTATAGCAGGTAGGGTGTTTGCTTTGCGTTCCAATACACAGTGTCTACTAACATCCAGTAATACATTAAAAAAAAATACTAGATCAGCTGGATGTATTGGTGTGGATGTGGGGAGAAAGAGATGCTCTTCCACTGTTGGTGGGAATGCTGACTGGTCCAGCCTCTTTGGAAAACAATATGGGCATTCCTTCAAAAACTAGAAATTGAGCTTCCATATGACCCTGCAATACCACTTCTGGAATTATATCCCAAGGGTGCAAAAAAGCACAGTAGAAATGAAATCTGCACCTGCATGTTCATTGCACCACTGTTCACAGTAGCCAGAAACTGGTAATGACCTGAGTGCCCTAGAACGGATGATTGGTTAAAGAAACTTTGGTACATCTACACAGTGGAATACTATGCAGCTTTTAGGAAAGATGAAGTCATGAAATTAATTTCTTATAAATGGATAGATCTGGAGAGTATCATGCTAAGTGAAATGAGAAAGAGAGGGAGAGACATAGAATGACTGCACTCATTTGTGGAATGTAAAATAACATAATATGAGACTAACACCCAAGGAGAGTAGACACAAGGACCAGGAAGATTGCTCCATAGTTCGAAGCCTGTCCCATGAGTTGGGGGGAAAAGGCAGCTGGGGTAGAGAAAGGATTGCTAAGTCAGTGGTGGTTGGAGGAATAGCTTGGGATGGGTGATGTGTGCTGAAAGTAGATAAAGGATCAAACCTGATAGCCTCGCAGTATCTGTATTGCAAACCATAATGCCCAAAGTAGTGAGAGAGTATGGGGGAAATTGTCTGCCATAGAGGCAGGGGGAGGGTAGGAAGGAAGGAGGCGTTTCTGGGAACATTGGTGGTGGAGAATGTCCACTGGTAGAGGGATGAGTGTTCAATCATTGTATGACTGAAACTCAAACATGAAATTTTTTTAACTATCTCACGATGGTTCAATTAAAAAAAAATGGTAATATTTTGCATAGTTCAGTATGTGACTTTATTTGCATTAGAATTGAAACTCATATTTAGGAGATAATGTCATGATTTCCATGGAAGCATTTTATATATTTAAAAAAATATTGCTAACAACAAAAGACCCACCATTATTATTTGGAATTTTCCCCAACATCTCCAACATTTTCCCCAAACATCCCACATGTACCCGGGGCAACGACGGTCCTGATCCTCCCAGTGAAGAAACACCGAGAGAGAGCATCATATTGAATGTGATCAAAGTAGAGAGAGAGAGAGTAAAGTGGAAATCTTCTGCCACACAGGCAGGGGGAAGAATAGGAGGGGGCGTATACTGGGGTTTTTGATGATGGAAAATGTGCACTGGTGAAGGGATGGATATTTGATCATTGTATGACCAAGACTTAAACTGAAAAGCTTTGTGGCTGTTCTAACAGTGATTCAATAAATAAAAAACATTTTAAAGATTATTTCTAACATATTTAGGATAGTGATGTGTTATAGCAAGAAGGATTTCATAAAATTTGAGCCCCAAGTGATAAAATAATTGTTTTTTTTTTTTCAGTATCTTTTACCTTCTTTATATTTTTTCTTCTATAGTTTTTAATCTCACAGATTTTCAGAAACTTAGCCATGGCAAAATTAAGAAATAGTATTTTATCATAGAATTGATGGAACTTTATTCAGATAAATTTTCTCCTTCCCGGCAGTGCTCAGGCGTTACAATCCTGGCTCTGTTTAGTGATCAATCCTGGTGGTACTCACAAAACCATATGTGGTACTGGGGAGTAAACCAGGTTGGTCACATGCATAATGACGTTAACTCAGTCTCTGGCCCATGAGCTAATATCTTTTCTTGCCTAGTTGATTTTGAAATTGAAGCTATTTTTATCTTAGGTATTCTACTTTCTGTGTCTGATTTTGTTAACATAACTTTCTTTTTAGATACGGTTATACTTTGGTCTTCTATGATGTGATCAAAGAGTTGTGTAACAAAGGTTATTTGAGGATACATTGATGATTACAAGCTCTAGGCATTAAATGTAGCAGAGTCTTTAAAATTGAACTTAATGGAATGACTCCTCTTCCCTCAGGCTGTGGATCTTTCTATTGACGAGTCCAGCTTGACAGGAGAGACAACCCCTTCTTCTAAGGTTACAGCCCCTCAGCCCACTGCAACTAATGGAGCTCTTGCATCAAGAAGTAACATTGCCTTCATGGGAACACTGGTCAGGTGTGGCAAAGCAAAGGTAAAAAAAAAAAAATTTAGAAATAGCAGTTCCCTGAATTGAATCATTTTCTTCATGGTTCCTACCTCCACCCTTCATCTTTTAGCTAGTTTTGTGTCTTCAAAATATGTAACAAAGAAACATCAGAATTGAACATGGTCCTAGTTTTATTTGTGAGACCGAGGAAGAACTGTCCCTGAAATGTGGCTTGTGGATAGAAGCATAACTGTATCAGTAAAATTTAGTTTATATGGTGCTGGTTTTAATATTCTGACTACAGGGGTTGGAGAGATAGTACAAGGACTAAGGGGCTTGTCTTGCATGCTGCCGATTTCTGTTCAGATCCAGGATCACATATGGCCTCCTTCCTGCCAGCCTGAGCTCTGCCAGGAACAAGAGTGCGTTCTGAGCACCACTTGGGTGTGTGCCCTCCACTTCCACCCCTCTACCCCCAAAAAGTCTGACTACCTATTGTTCCTGCTGATTGATTTCAGGTAGTTTTTCCCTTTAGTTCTAAACTATGAACATAAATAATACAGTTTAGTAGCATTTGAGGGGCATAGAAACTATTAAATATTGAATATAAGAGAGATTCACATGTCAGAAATACTGATACAGACAAAATAGAGCCATCAGAATTGAGTTATTAATAAATTTAATGAAATATTAGTCTTTTAAAGTTCATTTCACAGGTGGTACTAATGATCTGTAGTAACATCAGAAAGTGAATTTTTCTGGCAACCTTGGATGTGTACATCAGACACCTTGATTATGAATTTGGCTTTGGAGAATGCTTGGTAGCAGGATTATTAATTTGTTTTTTTGGGGGGGGTGCTTTAAATTTTTGAATGAGAGTGGTGATTCATATGACTATAAGTGGACTTTTCTGTTTTTTCCCTTTTTAGGGTATTGTCATTGGAACTGGTGAAAACTCTGAATTTGGGGAGGTTTTTAAAATGATGCAGGCAGAAGAAGTGAGTACTTAGTTTTTGCAGTATTGGTATTAAATCTAAGCTTTTTTATTTAGAGAAGAGTGTGTTATTTGATTATTTCATGCACTATTAAACATTTTATTCCCAATATTGTTCACTTTTCTATACTTAATACAATTGGGAGCGTATAATTTGAAAGACTTGAATCGACATTGTTAATTTTCTAAAACATTTTAATACTGTTCGTAGGAGAAAAAGGTTTGCAGTGTTTATTCTTTTTAAAAGTTAACTTTATCAATTTTTAATACTACTAATAAATATTTGTCTCAGAATGTGTCTTCTACTCAATTTCTAACTCTGCATATTTAAAAGTAAGGATGGGCTTATGAAGTAAAATAATCTGGAAAATAATCTTGATCAAGGATATCAAAGATTCTCTATGTAAAATATGTATGTATAAAAAGAAGTTATATTTTATGAATGTCATATTTTTTTTCGAATCTTTTGAATTTCTCAGCTATTCTGCCAAGACTCCAGTTGTGATTTATAAGGTGTAAAACCATTTGAGGAATCTTGGCTGTGAAGGAATGGTTTAGCAAGAGAGCAGATAAGATTGCTAGCAGGGTAAAAGACTTGGGGTGTTAGCATTTTTTGGATATGGCAAGGAGCATCTGGAAACTCCTATAGCGCACACCTTTCCTTAAAGAGAAGTTTTGGGTGCCTGGACTTTTTTAAGCAAATATATTTAAAAGTGTAAAGGTTTGGCATTCCTTGCTAGGTGAACTTAGGTGGTGTTTAAAGTGTAAGCTTCAAAAAGGAAAAAAAGAAGTCTAACCTTTTTCATTGGTGAAGAGGTAATATAACTCTTACCACAGGGAGAGGCGTTTCTGTCAAGCACTAGCATATGAGTGTGTCAGGCACATAGCAGACTCCCTGGCACCTCGGATGTCTTATAAATTTAGAAAATCTTGGTAACACTCTTACCCATTTTGTCAAGGCACCAAAAACCCCTTTGCAGAAGAGCATGGATCTCCTGGGAAAACAACTTTCCTTTTACTCCTTTGGTATAATAGGTAAGAGAGGAGTGAGTATGTGTATCTTATGTATTTACTTGGGTTTGCTTTGGGAGGGAAGGGGGAGTTTAGATACATACTTGCTGTGTTTTAAGGTCTTGGCTTGTAGAGATAGTACAGTGAATAGGGCGCTTGTCTTCCATGTGGCCAACCCTGGTTTGATGCCTGCCATCTCATATGGTCCCCAAGCACCACCAGGAATGATTCCTGAGCATAGCTGGTTGTGGACCACCCCCACACTCACTCAAATTATAAATCTAATCCTAGATATTGTCCTATTCTATGAAGACAAAACAAATTTGTAATTTCTGTAACCATTGAGATTTTCTAGGAGCATTTATTTTTCCTTCTAATTTTCTATATAACATGAAAGTCTTGTGTTATAGATTACCCTTTCCCCCCACATATACTGTCATTAAGAGTTTCTCATTAAATAAGTGCTCACCTAAAGTAATTTAAAGGTTGCTAGTGTTCTCTGTGTGTGAGTGTGTGTGTGTGTGTGTGTGTGTGTGTGTGTGTGTGTGTGTGTGTATGTATAAAATCAGGCCTCAAAAGACTGGAGTGGTAACAGATGAGTGCATGCTCTGCATGCAGAAGGTTCTGTCCCTGACTCCTAATGGCAACCCAAGCACTGCTGGGGGTAGTCCCCAGTCATAGTCGGATGTGGCCCTAAGAACAGAAAAACCCCAAAACAGTATTAGGCCTCTTAAAGTTTTGTAAAATGATGTAAATCTTCAGAGGAAATAACTTACTGTAAATACTCATTTCTTTAGAAAACTTCTTAAGACTAAATCAGAGAGTCATGCAGTTAAAAAACTTGCTTCATATACCAATATAATCTTTGGCAAAGCAAAAGTGTCTCTCTTCCAGCATCCTCGTCCATTTTCAGGCTTTGTTGTCATTAACAGGTGAATACAGGCTTACTTTGTTTCCAGTTATCAGAGAAACATAACATTTGGTCATACGTGTGCTGATCCTTTTAAGACTACTAAGACCCCTTGGTCTTTTTGTACCTTTTTTGTGGCTCAAGGTTTGTATTGGTAAAAACTCCTTGTATAATTCGGATAGTGATGGTTACGTTTTTGTTTAGTTGAGTGTCCCCAACCCAATTTTTTAGTAGTTATTGGGATATAAGTGTAAATATATATGTTTACATGTATACACAATATTTTGTATTTATATAGTAAGCTATCTTAAACTTATGATTCATACAATACCTACTGGGAATATTTAGTGCTACTAACAGCACAAAAGCAACCATAGAACTCATAGTGGATAAGACTGTCTTCCAATAAGCTTTATGTACAGCATCATACAGGTGTCCATTGATTGTAGTTTGTCAACCACTGGTATAGTTTACTAGATAGTTTCTTTTATCCTAATAATATTATTTGGGATAAGATCTCAATCTATCATATTACAATCAGGATCACTTGTAGTATATAGTGATGAGGATAAAAACTTGTATTAAATGTCTGTTATTCTAGAATACAATTCCAAATTGCTTTATTAAAAATTGATAGTGTTTTTCTTTATTCCTCACAAAGTAGTATTGCGCTCTTTCTCTCCCTCTGCCTTCTCCCTTTATTTTTGTTTTTGGGTTACACCAGGCAGGGCTCAGCTACCTTATGTGGTTCCAGGGATCAAACCCAGGTCAGCTGTGCAAGGCAAGCGCCTTACCTGCTGTCTCTCTATTTCTGGCCCTCACTCTCTTCTTTTTTTTTAAAGATAAAGGTTAAGAGAGTATTGGATTAGTTTGTTTAGTTTGGTTCTAATAATTTTTTTTAAGTGTTCTTCATTTTAAATTACTTTAAATTTCATCCAAGTATTTTCAGATGCTAATGCAATTGTAGATGTCTTCAGTAAGGTGCGTTGCTCTCGGAACCAGGTCCAAAGGACTTTATTATTTACAGTACAGTATAGACATTGTGTCATGTCTGATGATTTACTCATGGGAAGTAAGGCTCCAGTAATTCATTTTTGAAAGCTGATAGTAAATAGAGGACTTACATGTTGCATGCTTCCTCCACCTCCTCCCCTGTACTGACCTCCTGCATCTCCACCAGTTGTCTGAAAATACTGGTATTGTTTGCTTGTACTTGCTCCTCTCAGATACGACTTTCTGCTCTCAGGGTGGGTGGCAGTGCTGGCTGTAAAAGAAAAAGCTGATGGTTATGTGCATGTACATTTAATTTCTCCTGGTTAATGGCTTTCTGTGAAATTATTTTCTGATCTGGTGTGCTTTACTCCTATCATAAATGGGGCTCATTGGTTGTCCTCAGCTTATTACTATCTCCCAGTGTTTCCCAAAGTGGGCTGTGACCCTCACTTCCCACCGTGAGCTGGCAGCCTTTAGTGCATTTGGGTCGCACTGCCAGTTCACTTAGAGAAGGTGGATTGCCAGGAAAGTGCTGAGTGAGTTGGGGTTTTTTTTTAATGGTCTTTAAAAGTGAATTGGGAGCCTCTGCCGTTTATAACTTCTATGCCAGCTATTTTATTTAAAAGAGAGAAATAGCTGTTTCATTCTTTCAGGTATCATCATGTTGGTTGGCTGGTTACTAGGAAAAGATATCCTGGAAATGTTTACTATCAGTGTAAGGTAAGTTGTAATTGTTTGTAAATTAAAGTCTCTCTGTTTGTTATTTCTTTAATAGGTGTAACTCATGTTTCATTGTGAATATCTAAGATATAAGCTTTGGGTGGGAGAGATAGTACAGTGGTAAGGCATTCCTTGGCATACTCAGTTTGATCTCCACCACCACCACCACCCCCCCACTCCCATCCTGCCAAGAGTTAATGCTGAGCACAGAGCAAGGACTAAGCCAAGAACACTGTCAGATACTGTCCAGCCCCTCCCCCCAAGTGCCTAAGTTATTCCTGCTAATTAAATAATTCAGTATTTGTATGTTGAAATAAACTATAGGAAAATGAAAATCTACATCTATGGCAGTGGAGAAAACCTATGCTACATGTTGCTATTATCAACTCACTATTTCACTATTTTTTGATAGAACTATAAAACATGTGTATGTATATATAATTAAGGATTGCCGAACTAAAAACTAGTGGCATGAAAGATAAAAACCACAATATAGAAATTGTATAATGAGGGGGCTGGAGTGATAGTACAGTGGGCAGGGCTTTTGCCTTGTACAGAGCTGACGGGGGTTTAATCCCTGGCATCGCATACAGTCTCCCAATTGCCAGAAGTAATTCCTGCGCACAGGAGCCGGGAATAACCCCCTAGCTTCACCAGTGTGACCCAAAATCTACAAAAAGAAAAAAAATGTATGATGAATCTCAGAAAAATGAAAAATTTAAGAAACAGAAGAAAAATAAGAATGAAGTTTATTTTCAGAGATTTGTGTATATTCATAGTGGTCAGAAGATCACAGAACAGAAAAGGTTTTGTAAACTAAGATTATAATGGCTAATTAAAAATTTAATTTAAAGACTGTAATGTACTATCAATGAGATCTTCAAAAACAGGAAAGAGACAGAGATGTCAGAATAGTTCAATAAATCTCATATGTGACTAGTATGAGTTTTAGGTGTCATTAAGAAAGCAAGGGAGTGTAGTACTATCAAAGTATTGGAGTTCATTCTCTGAACTTACACATATGTTACCAGTTACCAGTCTCGTTAATCTGTTGATGGGCCAGTAATCAGACTCTCTTCCTTATCTTCACATGAATTTCTGCAAAGTAGGGATACAAAAAAGAAAGGGGTGAGATCTGGAGTCACAAGAATGAGTGGAACTCACTGAGGTATCTGAAGAAATGTCATCCTAAAAGTCCCTTAGGAGGCCTGGGAAGTAAGAGTTCATATAGTAGAATAAAAGTATGTAGGTTAAAAATCAAAAGTTTGCAAGAAGTAGGTAAGAAGTTAAAAAGATGCTTTTGATATGGTGAAGAAGACAGATTTTCTTACAGAAGCAAAAATGCAATTTGAAATTTTTAGCTTCAAGTGTATACATTTTTGTTGTTGATTTTATTGATTGATTTTTTTTTATTAGTGAATCATCGTGAGGTACAGTTACAGACTTAAAAACTTTAGTGCTTGAGTTTTAGTCATACAGTGGTCGTATATATTTGAATAGGGTTCAGTGTAAAAGTGAAGCATGAATTTAAGGTACCAGTTACTGGCGTGTCTGTCAAGGATGCATTTTGGTTTTTTGAGCAGTTTTCGTGAAGAGTAATACATTACAACTTTTACACATACTTCAGGGTCTTTGAAAGGACAAAAAGAAAATCTTTAGTAGAACAAAACTCATTCTGTTAAAATTACCATCAGGGTTATTAAACTCTTATAAATCTAAATTGCATTATGTGCTACTTACTGACCTTATTTTTTCCTGTCTTGAAACATACCACTATTTCATTACCTTAGTAATTATTTTAATAATTATTTCCAACTGTGCAAGAGATGAGTAAAACAATTGGTAATCAGAAGAATAATGGAATTATTTAAAATGTTGGTGTCTTGAAGCAAATCATCACTGTTCTATTATCCTTTATGTTGTCCACAGAATTGCACCATTGTTTAAGAAGGTATAGAAGAAATTTAGAGACCCTATTGTAATTTGGAGGGTGGGGAAGTGTTCAGAAATTTTCATTTTCTTCCATAATGGTGAAGAGAATAATTGACAGAAATTTCACAATTATTAGACAAACCAGAAATGAATGCAAAGAGAAAAGAAACACAGTAGTTTTGGAGCAGTAGGGAGATAATTTGGTAATTTAAGTTAAATCTCAAACCTGTGAATCTTTGGTTAAGGATATTCTAAGTTTTTTTCAAACTCTCAATATGTGAATAGTTTATTTCTAAGAACTGAAAGGAAACAGTTTTCCCACTTACTCATTCTGAAGCAAGAACCTGTATCGCTTCTTCTAAGAGAAGATAGCATCTTTCATATTTTAATTGTTTTCTTAATCTATATTTACTTTATACCATCATTGTAATTGGTCTTTATGAATCTTAAAAAGAAACCTTTGCAGGTCTTTTGGAAAATTGACTGCTTTTCAAAAAGTTATCTACCATCAATGTATTTGGAAGTGCTGCCTTTTGGAGAAAGTGCAGAAACAATAATTGATAAGCCTATAAAATCCTTTAGGAAAAACTTTTATAAGTCAGTATTTATAAGTTGAATATGATTCACATCATTTATTATTGTTGATGAGGAATTAATTGGGTCCAAATAAATATATATATATATATATATATATATATACTCATCTTTAGAACTAGAAATGTAGTTGGGGATTGGAATTTAGATGAATTGTTAAATTTATTTGCTTTTGAATTAATTACAAAAATATGAAAAGGTTTATTGATAAGAACCAAATGAACCAAAAGGTCAAGATTTTAAGTCATAGTATCTGTTTTTTCTGATTCAGAAAAGAAAACCTGTGTCTGCTGGGTAATAACTTGACATTCTTTCTTTTTAGAGTTCGACAACCAGTCGACTACCTTCTGATCCTGAATTTGTTTACTCTTAGTATTTCATTTAAGCAGAATCTTAAACTATGTGCTCTTTTGTGTTTGGTATTTTTGAGAGATTCATGTCTTCTTAGTATATATCATGACCTCAATTTTTTTATGACCGATACTGTGTTGAATGGACATACCATAGTCTCCGAGTTATCAGTAAATGGGCATGGGGGTACATCCTTCTTTGTAATATTGCTTTGTGAACATTATTGTTATCTGTATCGGGTATGAGGAATCTAAACTGCAGCGGTAAAATAAAAAGTAGAAGATAAAATTGGTGAAGTTTAGGGTATAAATTGAGGAGTTCTGATGTCAGTATCTGTATTCTTTAGTTTCTACGTGTAAGCTGGCAGTGAGAAGCTGTCCAATACATATTAGTCAACCTTGCCATCATTTTGAGGCTATTTGGGGTGTTGAAAATGTTAATTCTGCATTTTTATGAGAGTTCATGTTAAGTAGCCAACCACTAGCAATTTCTACTATGGGTGCTATACTTCAGTACTCTGTATTTATTGATTACAGTTTGGCTGTAGCAGCAATTCCTGAAGGTCTTCCAATTGTGGTCACAGTGACTCTTGCCCTGGGTGTTATGAGAATGGTGAAGAAAAGGGCCATTGTGAAAAAACTGCCTATTGTGGAGACTCTGGGTAGGTCTGTGGTAAGAGTATACTTATGCAATGATTGTTAGTTTACTTCAACAGTCATCTTTGGCCTTGAAAGTTTTTGTCTTAGAGATTTTCATAGTGGTGTTTGATGGAAATGTCAACTCTGATTTTAAATATATTGAAAAAGGTAATTTTAGACTATATTTATTTGACATCAGAGTGCTAGTATAGGGGCGAAGATGCTATTTTGCATACAGCTGTTTAATCCCCAGCATTGCCCTTGGTCTCTTAAGCACTAGCAAGAGTGATTCCTTAGCACAGTCGGGAGTAAACCCTGAGCACTGCTGAGCAGAGCCCAGCACCTTATACTAAATGTATATATTCAACACAGGGGACTTATGAAACAATCTTACTGTGCCATACAGTGTTCTAGTGTTTAAATCATGTTTTTAAAAAACATACAGCAAATGAAGCCTTGTATTGCTGTTAAGAGGTAACCCCCGCCACCACCCCATTCAAGGAAAAAAACTGATAATTTTTGATTCTGAATTGTTAAATTCAGAATTTAACAATTGATTGAATTTGCTAATATGAATAGAAACGATAGCACAGCGGTAGGGCATTTGCCTTACAAGCGGCCAACATGGCCGACCCGAGTTCAATTCCTCCGCCCCTCTCGGAGAGCCCGGCAATCTACCGAGAGTATCTATCCCGCATGGCAGAGCTGGCAAGCTACCTGTGACATATTCGATATGCCAAACACAGTAACAACAAGTCTCATGATGGAGACGTTACTGGACCCGCTCAAGCAAATCGATGAACAACGGGAGTACCGTGACTGAATAGGAAATACACGATAATTACACTGCTATAGCAGCTTTACATGATATGAAAATTGTGGTAATTTTATACTGTGTTACATTTTTAGTTACCAAATCCCAAAATATCTGTTTTGCATTTTGATATTGAGAAGACAATACCCTCCAATCACAAAAATGTCTAGAGCTTCTGATAAAAATTATAGGCTTATTTTAAATTTTTAAGACTTTCAAGAAAATGTACTATGTAAGGCTATTATTTAAAGATAGTGTTGTGCAGACTTGTAGAACTTAATGCAAATAAGAAAAAACTCAACATTAATCAATATTTAGTTTTTAATTTTATTTCAGAAACCACTTTCAGAAGCAGGCATAATGAGAGAAAGTAATCTAAACTTATCAATGAGGTTGATTTGTAAAAAATTCAAGAGCAAGATAGGTTTCCAAAATCTTTTGAATTATTTTCATTGCAAACTTGCATTTCTCCTTGACTCCACTGGTGATATATAATGACTTTTTCTTTAAGGCTGCTGTAATGTGATTTGTTCAGATAAAACTGGAACACTGACGAAGAATGAAATGACTGTAACTCACATATTTACTTCAGATGGCCAGCATGCTGAGGTAATCTATAGATCCTTTTTTAAGCAGGAGCATTCCTTTGTTACATGGTGTTAAATATTTTTAAAGATTCCAGTATCTTATCTTCAAAAGGGTTGTAAATTAGTAGCAGTTTTCCCGTTTCATTCTACCAAGTGATAATCATACTTAAACATTTCATAGTCCTGTAACCTTGAATCATCCTTGATGTAATTCTTTCAGTCACTTTTTTACATTGGTTTGTTCATTACCAATCTCTTGATGGCTCTGCTCTATGTGTGCCTTGAGCCTTGTTTTAGAGCCAATTTTGAGCTTGTCACTCCCTGAATTAAGATATTTCCAACTGTAAAATGGGCACAGGTGGAGGGATGGGTACTCGATCATTGTATAATTGAAACCCAAGCACAAAAATTTGTAAGTCTACAACTGAACCTCATGGTGTTTTACTAATAAAAATTAAAAAATAAATAAGTAAAAAATAAAATCTAAAAAAAAAATAAAGAATAACAGGTTAAAAAAAAAAAAGATATTTTCCACTGTGATCAGGACCCTTGAACTGTGACCTCACTAGGCCCTGCATGCTTCTTCCTTATTTCTTTTTTAGCTTTAAATGCTTGTTTGCTTGCTTTTAACTGCATGTGTTTACTTTATGGTTTTCTGAGTGTGACCCAATTCCTCTAACTTCCAGATTTTGGTTGCTGTTCTCGGTGTCTAAAACAGTTTGATGCCTCGTCATCATTTGTTGCTTATTTTTTTTCTCCCACTTCTTCAGAAAAACTTTGCTGACCACTCAGAATTTGTCTATGATAAATGTCTCCATAGCACTCCATAACTCTTCTTAGCCTGGGAATTTTAGCAGAAATTTTCTGTTCCTCTTTGTGCACTCTCGGTTTCTAGAGTTGGCTTCTGGAGTTGGGGAGATGCTCGTTGATGTTTATCCACAAGTTTACAAGAACCCGGGATCTTACTGCCTAGTATAGGGCCTCCCACTAATACTATTTGTTGAAAGAATAAGTGGACAAATTATTTTAAAATTAGGTATTGGTATCTTAAGTACTGTTAGTATATTTACATTGGTAAATTTTGAAATTGGGATAAGTTTTTTCATGTAGAGTTTGTTTTGTTTTGCTTTTGATTTTTGGTTTTGGGAGACATCTTGGTAGTGCTCAGGGGTTATTCCTGCTTCTGCACTCAGGAATTATTCCTAACTAGGCTCAGGGGACCAAATGGAATACTGAGGATTGAACGTGGGTTGGCTACATGCAAGGCAAGCATCTTATCTGCTGTACGATTTCTCCAGTCCTTAATGCAGAATTTCTAACTGGAATGTTCATCAGTACTTTTGAAACCCATGATTTCATATGTCAAAATTGAACCTTTTTGTTAATTTCTCCCGAATAGTCTTATTTCTATTGTGAAATTTAATCTTTATTACTTTTTTTTTAGCATACTGTGTCATTGAATTTTTAAAATCAGCATCCGATTTTTAAAATTGGTGTGTAAAATGTTATGTTAATCTCTGAGTGTGCACGTTTAGAAAGAATTTGACTTTTGTGTACATCAGTGATTTTATTTACAGCTATTTAAAAGATTGACAACCACTGGTCTGGGTCATAGTTTTGACACAAATGTTACATGTGGTAATGAATTTGAGTTCTGTGTAAAACATATGTTATATGTAACTAATTTATATAAGTTTTTAATAGTTTATCTTTTCCATAGTATTTTAGAGTTGAAAAGAACTTAATAGCTGTTAACTAATAATTATTGACAATAGCATTATTTTGATGAGAAATTAACATCAATAGTTCTTAAGCTTTTTTTGTTTTTTTTTTTTCCTGGAGCAATAGCGCAGCAGTAGGGTGTTTGCCTTGCACGTGGCCGGCCCCGCCAACCCGGGTTTGATTCCTCCACCCATCTCGGAGAGCCCAGCAAGCTACCGAGAGTATCTCGCTCGCACGGTGAAGCCTGGCAAGCTCCCCGTGATGTATTCGATATGCCAAACACAGTAACAACAAGTCTCACAATGGAGACGTTACTGGGCTCTCTCAAGCAAATCGATGAACAACGGGAGGACAGTGCTACGTTCTTAAGCTATTAAGTGTGCTTTTAAAGACAAATTTAAATATTTTTAGAGGTATAAACACTACACTGTATATAAAATAAAACAAATAGAATTTATTATTATAGTTTCTGGTTTTCATAAGTTTTTCTTTGATTACTGTTCTGTTTCTATTGTTGAACCTACTTTGTGCTCCTTAGGTTACTGGAGTTGGCTATAATCCATTTGGGGAAGTGATTGTCGATGGTGATGTTGTTCATGGATTCTATAACCCATCTGTTAGCAGAATTGTAGAGGTGAGTAATTCTTGAAGGAGTTCTAGTTCATGTTCTGTATGCTGGAGTCCTAGGTTCGGTCTCTGGCACTGTATCATTCCCTGGGCACAGCTAGACGCAACCTCAAGCAGTGAGCTGGGAGTAGATACTACAGTACATTGCCAGGTGTACCCCCCAAAACAAAACAAAAGAAGAAGAAAGGGATGGTGTTCTTCAAGATGGCCTGGAGCACCGTGATGGATTCACACCTGTATATTTCTTTTAGGCTGGCTCTGTGTGCAATGATGCTGTAATAAGAAATAACAGTCTTATGGGGAAGCCAACAGAAGGAGCTTTAATTGCTCTTGCAATGAAGGTACGTGCTAGATCTTTATTTACATAAGACTTATGTATGAAAGTGGTTATCAAATGAGTATAACTCATGTTAATTGATCCAGCAAATAAATTGGCCAGTGGTATTTAGTATGTGATTATTTAGATCCTACCTTTTTCCATTTGAACGAAATTTTGAGGCCTTCTGTTTTGGTGTTAATGGATTTCAAGTGTAGAATGAAAGCTCAACAGTATTACATTGTTTTTATTGCCTTTTGAGAACTAGTATATTCTTCCTAAAATATAGAGCACTGAACTTTTTCTGTGTAACTTTATTCCTTATATGCAGGATACACATTTATCTCTAGCTGTTTAGAGATCACTGACTCTGATTTTTATTCTTCCTCAAAGGGAAAATATACTTTTGTGTTTGTGAGAATTCACTTTCTTTTTTGTGCCATATAGATGGGTCTTGATGGACTTCAACAGGACTATATCAGAAAAGCAGAATATCCTTTTAGCTCAGAACAAAAGTGGATGGCAGTTAAGTGTGTACATCGAACACAGCAGGTATCCTTTTATAAAAAAGAGTATTTTATCTTGATTGACACAAAGAACTTTCTCATTTATTTTCCATCTTTAAATTTAAACAGTCATGAAGCATAATAAAGACCTGTTGCTTTAAAGTATGTATAATTTGTAGTATACACATCTTTTGTTAACTTAGTTTTCTTTGAAATCATGCAGAGAGGTCCAGTTTTACTTTGTCACCAAACAGTTTAAGTAAGCTAGAGCTTGTGCTGTATTTATGTCAGAGCATATTTTTTTAATTCTAGATTGCAGTTTGTTATAGGTCTCTGTTAACTGTTACTAAATCTCTATTTTTCCACTGAAGAAATGTCATGTCTACAGAATAAACAACCACGTTATTTTGTGTGAAAGTGGTTATCAGATGGGTATAACTCATGTTAATTGATTGAGCAAATAAATTGGCCAGTGATATTTAGTATCTCCGATGATTTAGAGCCTACCTTTTTCCTGGGTACTCTGGAAAATTTTTAGATTCTAAATTCTTGGTTATGTACAGTGTGTAATCATTTCACTCATAGCTACTGTTACCAGTGCTTAAAGTTACTTTGCCACTTTTAAGTTTTCTTTACAAGGAATTAATAATAGTTTTTCATTTTCACCTGTGAGCAAATAGAGGTAGGTACTTTTCAGCTTATGTCCCTAGACTCTGTATTTAACACAATAGGAAAATATATATGAGCATATTTGAAAGGTCCTTTTCTTCATATTTTTTATACTGTTGAATAGAATTGCAGGTTAACATTGTTCATGTAGACTTTAATGATTTGGTTTTTCAACAATTTTTAATCTTACCATGTCAGAACACCACAGGTATGGCAAATTTACCAATCTTAGATAAACATGAGTCAGAATAATTTTTAACGAATTTTATTTGGACATGGCAATACATGTTCCTTTCTTGTTGGAAGCTCCCCAAACAGCCAACAAAGAATAAAGATACAGACTTTAAAAACAAAAAGTATGGGAAAGAGCCAGGTTGCCAGGTATTTCTGAAAGTAGGAACTAGAGCAAAAGCCAGGAAGGACAGGAGATCAGGTTGAAATTTTGAATAAGGACCCAGTAGAACTCCCCCAAGCACCTTTTCTCTATCTTGAGACCAGATCATTATCCATTCCTTAACTCTGATAGGCTATGAGAACTCTGTTATGGATACAAGAGTAGAGGGCTGAATTAAGATGTAAGACTGAAAACAGATTGAGGGAAAGATATTCCTGAAGAGTGAAACCTCAGATCTTGACTTCTTTCTCATTATGCCTGCTGGGAGGTTGGTATCGCCAGGTCAGGAGAATGGAGAGTGTTGGGAAAAGCGGCCTGCTCCCAGGGAGATTCCAGCTGTGCACGGTCTTTCTCACTCAGCCTTAGTTCACTGTTAGAGAGTAACTCAAGCTTCATCTCAGAATCCCACAGCAGGGTCCACTAGTTGATAAGCTTTGATGGTACCCATGGAGCTTCTAGATCAGAGGTTCCCAAACTTCTTTGGCCTAATACCCCCTTTTCAGAAAAATAAAATCAGCTTACTTCCGCATACCTTCTTTCAGTAGTGGGAGGTAGGGGGGACCAAAAAACTCACCCCAGTTGCACTAGAAGCTATTACCACCACCCAAGTCTTTCCAACATCCTTCCGGGGGGTGGGCAGGGAGAGGAGGCGGCACCTGCAGTTGCTTCACTTCTAATATCTCCTCATTGTGGAAGACAGAGTCAAGCTAGCAGAGAAAGGGGTTTGAGACATACGTAGGTTATAAAATTGGTGACAAAATGCATTTCTGCTCAAGAAAATTTCCAAAGACCATTACAAAATTGGTAACAAAATGTATTTAAGTAGATTTCAGATACACTCAGGGAATCAGAATCCATTAGAAAGTAGAATAAAAGATCACATTGCTAGTGTAAGTATTTGCCATCCATCATAATAGGGACAGAATAGCGCCCAGTATGTGCTGCTCCCTCCAGTTTCACAGAGATTGCTAATGTGTATTGACCAACACAGGATGCATACTGACTGTAGAGTGGGCAAAAGGGAGAGGGAAATCTATTTCTCCTGCATGTCTGCAGGGAGAACTGGGATGTGTGGGGATTGTTGGTGTGGATAGCATTTGGCTCAGGAGTGAGGACTCACGAATGTGTCTCAGAAATAATCAAAAGTATATATGTCTTCAAAAATTACAAATGTATTTTAAAATGTGGGGACAAATATCAAAGGGAAGAGCTATTTATCTGGGGGGGGGGGAGAGTTTGCCTCTCTGGATTAGAACTAGGGGTGAGAAGGTTTTGTGGTCAGGAAGCTGCAGTTTTTCAGTGTAAGTTTTTGTATATTCGTGTAAAAAGAATAAGAGGAAGTCTATTAATAGTACATTACAAGCCAGTTGTAATAGTACATTACAAGCCAGTTGTGAGAATTACATGGGAGCATGCCTGTGCGCACACATATATCCACCTGCTACAGAAACCAGGTAGCCACCATGTGGGGACTGCTGGTAAGCTTGTCTTGTTAGGTGTGAGCTGTCCTGGGCTAGTTGTGCCATTGCTGTCAGGGGGTGGGGCTAGAGTAAGGAGTGGATCCATTTTCTCTGGAGTGTTCAGCAATCTCCCTGCATGTGAACTTGTGATGCCTCAGACTCCATGTGCCACTCAAAGTTTTGGGCTTCACTCACCTTCCTGGGGAGTATGAGAGAAGCGTGCTACGCTTTTGAGCTCCAGTGGCAGTAGAAGTTTGAAATTAACTGGCGCTTATGTGCTTACTTTCTTCTTAGGACAGACCAGAGATTTGTTTCATGAAAGGTGCTTACGAACAGGTGATTAAGTATTGTACTGCATACCACAGTAAAGGGCAGACCGTGCCACTCACTCAGACGCAGAGAGATCTTTACCAGCAAGAGAAGGCGCGGATGGGCTCCGCAGGGCTTAGAGGTAAGGTCCCCTCGGCGTAGGGTGGAAAGGACACGATGCCTTGCCATTGCAGATGGAGTCACGTTTCACACCTGAGCTGCCCAGGTGTATTCCAGATCTAGTCAGCCTGGCTGTTTCTGAAGTTTTGGGTTTTAGCTGGCTAACTGCCCTGCTGAACTTGAAAGGTTGGGAATTTAGCAAAACAAGAAATCTTGACTATTTGTACAGATGTGTAGTAATGTTTGATAGAGGAAAAAATTCTGCGGAAAAAGGATGTATTGAAGTTTTAACTTGACTTTGTTCTTTAGACTGAGATAGTTGCTAACTTGCTACTCACCTGCTACCTTTCTCCTCTTGCTCTTCACCAGAGATGAAGTGTCCACATTCTCCTCTTTAAAAGGCTGTTGACTGGACAGTGACCCACAGCCGCCGTGTCTCCTTGGGCCATTAGGCATAAGAGTGGAGAGGCAGGGACTGAGGACAAGTTGTCTCTCTCCAGTAAATTGAAAGTGTGTCTTTTGCTTTTAATGAGAAAATCAAAGTCGAGCACTAGAATTTCTGAGAGAAAGAAGCCAAGTCATATTGTTATAATGCTCTAATTCATGGCTCACTTTCTGTGGGTCTAAAACATTTTGTGGATTGTGAAAACTTCTGTCCTTTAGAGAGGTAGTCTCATAGTTATTCTGTTTAAGATCTGAGTTCTTTTATTTTTATTGAGTCATAGTAAATGGTTTGCAAAGTTATCTTGGGTCTAAGAGACCTTAAGAAGGTCCTGTAAGGTCTGGTGTGTGCCCTGTTTTCATGAATTTTTGAACAGAGGTTTAACACTATTTTGACTAATTTTTTTTCCCTGCCCTGATGGATTGTGGCACTTTGTGTGTGGTTTGATGTACCACATGTTTCACCTTGTGAGTTGGTAGAGCCGGTTCTGTTTCGTAAGACTTTGGAAAAGAATATTCTGGTCAAATATTTGTCTTTCACTCTTCTTTCTCTCGCTGCATTTCCTTCCCCATAAACTATCATAATGAGAAAGACAAAATGTAACAATGTACTTATGCTCAGTTATATAAAACAGTTTTCTTAAAGTGAGTGTGGTTGTGGTCCTTAACCCACCACACAAAAAAGCTTAACTACCCTTATCTTAAACAGTAACATGTCTTCATTTGTATTCAAGAAGCAAACACATAGGGGGCCAGAGAGATAGTACAGCGGGTAAGGCACTGTTAGGTGACTGACCCAAGTTTCATCTGCAGCATCTCATATGGTTCGCTGAGCCTGCTAGGAGTGATCCTTGTACACAGAGCCAGGAGTAATCCCTTAGTACTGATTGTGGCTCAAACCAGCACCCCCCCCCCCCACACACACACACACATACACACACCACCCCCTTAAAAAAAAAAAAAAGCACAGCAAACATATAAACACAGGCTCTAACCTAGAGATTTGTTTTCCCCAGAGGAGACTGGTACCATCCAGAGAGATGTGAGTAGCCTCCAGAGTAGTTAAGGCATAGGGGTGTTTTTTGTCTTTTTGCTTAAAGAAGGGTTTATTTATGATTTTTTTTGGCTTTTTTGGGGGGTCATACCCAGTGGTGCTCAGGGATTACTCCTGGATCTACACTCAGGAATTTCTCTTGGAGGTGCTTGGGGTACCATATGGAACACTGGGGATCGAACTCGAGTCGACCACGTGCTATACTATTAACTCTGGCCTAAATAGGTTGATTTTTTTTTTTTGTGCTTTTTGGGTCACACACGGCGATGCACAGGGGTTACTCCTGGCTCTGCACTCGGGAATTTACCCCTGGTGGTGGTCAGGGAACCATATGGGATGCTGGGAATCAAACTTGGGTTGGCCGAGTGCAAGGCAAATGCCCTATCTGCTGTGCTATTGCTCCAGCCCCTTGATTTTTGATAGAGGCAAAAACTTTTTTTTTTCTGCAAAGGGGATAGTCAAATTAGTTTGAGAACCTCTGCTCTAGACTCAAGCTACCCCTCTATTTGGGAATACCAAGAACTGATTTATTCCTTGGGATTTTTCACACAGAAATTGATGCTTATTGTCATCACCCATTGACCTCTGCCTCTTGTAGCCCTAGGGCTGTCAAGTGTCTTCTTCCATCAGGGTGAAAGCCTTTGGGGCCCACATCTCATAAGTAGTAAGCCATGTAATGCTTTGGAGAAAGAAATCATTTACCTCCAAACCCTGGCTTCCAGCTCTTTGTACTCCTCCAGAGAGCCTCCTGTTGAGGAAGAACAAATCTTCTTCCGTCTTTGCTTCATTAAGGTTTTTTTTGTTTCTTGTTAAATCTGCTAATATCCCAGATGAAACTGTCATCCTTTGATTCAAATGGGAGTTAGCAGAAGTTCTAGTATTCTGAGAATAAGCTAAATAATACTTGGGAATGGGCATTTCTTTGTGCTCTATGCTAACTACTCAAGGATGACAAGAAAGTACTTATGATATGGTATCATTTATAGACTCTTATTAAAGAACAAAGTTGAAAATGTTAATGTTGTAGGAAGAGTCAAAGAATCCGAAGTATTTGGTATATTAGTGATTTTAACAATCATGCAAGACAGTAAATTTACTCCCTAGGGTGTGTCATGTATGAAGTTGTTCTAGCTTGTGTGTAATTAATTAACCTAGTCTTCAAGCTGTAACCTGTTCTCGAAACTTTTTAAATGGAAATGAAGATGCATTAGTAGAAGATATTTTCACAGGGTCTGTTTCAAGTCCACTATAAACTTTGATGAATTTAGAGTTTCTCCAAACAGCTGATCATACTTTCTTAAGAGCCAGTGGTTTATGTCCAAAAGAGCGATGTGTGGTTACTCTGCGAAAACAATTTGCTCCGCAGTTGCCTTCTCTGCTTCACAGTTCTTTACTTAAAAAAAAATTAATAGCTTAAAGTAATCCTGTATCTAGAACCGGTAAATAATGTGTTAGCACGTTACAATTTTCTTGTTTGATTTTTGGGGCCACACCTGGCTGTGCTGCTAAGGACATACTCCTGGCTCTCTGCTGAGGGATCACTCCTGGCGGGGTTGGGGAGATATATGGGGTGCTAGGAGTTGGACCCTGGTTAACCTCATGCAAGGTGAAACTCTGCCATTGTACTATTGCTCCAGCGTGTAATAATTTCGACAGCACAGTCTTTAGTGTTTAAGAAATATATTTGTTTCCAGCTTTTATCAAGTAAATTTCTAATGTTCTTGTGGCTGATATTCTCTTTTTTTATTTTATTGCTATTTCCTAAGTTCTTGCTTTGGCTTCTGGTCCTGAACTGGGACAGCTGATGTTCCTTGGCCTGGTGGGAATGATAGATCCTCCCAGAACTGGTGTGAAAGAAGCTGTTGCAACGCTCATTGCCTCAGGAGTGTCCATACAGATGATCACTGGTGATTCCCAGGAGACTGCAGTCGCCATCGGTATGACAGGGCTGCTTCCTTGGGTCATTTGCCTTGGTCACAGCCGTACACCTTTTTGTGCAACTTTATAGCCGAAGTGGTGTTCTACATAATTTTGAGATTATACTATGAAAATGGGCTCACATTTTTCCTCATACTCTCTAAATTCTATATATAATTTCATTATTCATTGAAAATATGTTACTATCATTATGAAACTACTGTTTCGTTCAAAATAGGATCTATGATTCCTTTATTCTCATAATCTGCTTGTTGACAGATAAAACACATTATTGTAAATGAAGTTATTCATGTTTTAAGTGTCAGATGTACAGTGTTCTAACACCAGCCCCTCCATCAATCTCCACTTTCCTTCACCAGTGTCCCGGGTTTCCTTCCTACCCCAGCCTTTCTCTGACAGGCATTTTAAAAACACATATTGACAGGTACAAGAATTTGATCATGACTTAGAAAACAAAATTTAGGTTTTCCATTCAACTTAAGTATAGTTTTCAAAGTAGACTTGTATCTAATTTGGGAGAAAACAGTGCCTATATTTCTCTGTCTCATAGGTATAGATCTGCCTGTACATTTTGGATGCTATTATGAATGCTTTTATAAGTATCAGGGGAAAATGGATTGGAAATTTAATCTCAGAGCCTGTGAACTGTAATCCATACTAATAAGTTTAGGTAGTTTGCTAAATTTTGTTGCTTCATATTTTATTAAAACAAAAAGAAAAGCTGGAACAGGAATTTCACACTTTTATGTTATTGGATTATATCTCTAGAAACTTGTCAGGAAGATTATATGTAGAGGAACTTTTGAACACTTATTTGTATATATAAACTTCTATTTGGGGGGCTGGGTAGAAGGAATTTATTAGGTGTCGGGCTTCAAGCAGTCAGATGGTCTGATTATTATAATTCTTGTAGATGCCACGCTACCATTCCCTGACCTGCTGCCCTTCACTGATCCCTGGGAGTGTTAAGTAGTTCCTAATGGATTTGTTGAGGCATTCAATATCCACCACCAATCCCACCACCATAGTGACCTTCCTTCCACCAATCTCCATTTTTCCAACATAAACAACTTTTTGATCACCACATATTCATTTAGGCTGGAGCGATAGCACAGTGGGTAGCGCGTTTGCCTTGCATGCGGCCGACCGGACCTACCCGAGTTTGATTCCGACGCCCCTCTCAGAGAGCCTGGCAAACTACCGAGAGTATCTTGCCCGTACGGCAAAGCCTGGCATGCTCCCCGTGACGTATTCGGCATGCCAAACACAGTAACAACAAGTCTCACAATGGAGATGTTACTGGGTCCGCTCAAGCAAATCAGTGAACAATGGGAGGACAGTGTTTGTTTGTGTTATTTTATTATATCTCTAGAAACTTGTCAGGAAGATTATATGTAGAGGACCTTTGGAACACTTATTTATAAACTTATTTGGGGCGTTGGGTAGAAGGAATTTATTAGGAATCGGGCTTCAAGCAGTCAAATGGTCTGATTATAATTCTTGTAGGTGCCACACTACCGTGCCTTGACCTGCTGCCCTTCACTGAGCCCTGAGAGTGTTAAGTAGTTCCTGATGGATTTGTTAGAGGCATTCAATATCCACCACCAGTCCCACCACCATAGTGACCTTCTCTCCACTAATCTCCATTTTTCCAACATAAACAAGTTTGATCACGACACATTCATTTAGGCCGGAGCGATAGCACAGTTAGTAGGGCGTTTGCCTTCCACATGGCCAACCTGGCTGACCTGAGTTCAATTCCTCCGCCCCTCTTGGAGTGCCCGGCAAGCTACTGAGAGTATCTTGCCCACACAGCAAAGCCTGGCAAGCTACCTGTGACGTATTTGATATGCCAAACACAGTAACAAGTCTCACAATGGAGATGTTACTGGGCCCTCTCGAGCAAATCGATGAACAACGGGAGGACAGTACAGTGCAGTGCTATGTATTCATTACCATTTTGTTTGACCTTGGGTTCACCCCTGAAAATTCACTCTCCTGTTGATTAAAATTTAACTTCTAGGCCAAACCAGATTGTTTAGTTTCAGCTTTTAGATATGTTGGGTAAAATTGTGAAGATGTTATTGTTAAATTGAAATGAAAGTAAGGCAGGGAGAAGACTCCATACCTTTTACTAATTCGGAAAAGTGTCTTAGTAATCGTTTGCTTTCTGATCTCTTGCTGTAGAAATTATTACTTCAAAAGAGCATTATATTCAATGAGCATTATGTTGGCCAGCCTTTTAAAACCAGTGGGGTTTAGTTGTGTTTCCTTTCTCTCACTCTATTTTAGCTAGTCGTCTGGGATTGTATTCCAAAACTTCGCAGTCTGTTTCCGGAGAAGAACTGGATGCAATGGATGTTCAACAGCTTTCACAAATAGTACCAAAGGTAGGCCTAAGAGGGAGCAATGGGAAGGCCTCCTGCTAAGGCTGATAGTTACTATTGGGTTACTCCCCACACTCTGTTTACTCTCTGTCCTCCTGTTGTTCATCGATTTGCTCAAGCGGGCCCAGTAACGTCTCCATTGTGAGACTTCCTGTTACTGTATTTGGCATATTGAATACTCTCGGTAGCTTGCCATGTCCCACTCCCCACACACACCCCTTTTTTTGTTTTTCTTTGTTTTGGGGCCACACCCAGTATTACTCAGACCTCAATCTGCCCCTGCAGTCAGGGATGACTCCTAGCAGGACTCTGGGGTTCGTGTGTCAGGCTGTATGTGAGAAAGGTACCCTGCCCCCATGCTAGCTCTCTGGTCTCTGGTAGTTGTGGGTTTTACACTGAAGTCTGTGATCCTTTTTGAATTCATTTTTGTATATGTTTTGAGAAGTGACTTTAGATTTATTATTTTATACACGAAGATTCAGTTCCACTTGTTGAATTCTTTTTTCTTACCTTTTTTTTTGATTGTTATGTTTTTCTAACAATCATTTGTGCAGAATAAAAGTAGATATTAACTATCTTGGGATACTTTTAGGGATTTGTGAATATACTCAGATACTTTAAGGAAGGACCCTGTAAGAGATAGGCAACTGTCTTGCGTTTAAATTTTTGGCAGTTCAGATTTCTTGGCTCTCGTTGTGTAAGAAGTGTTTATCATTTTAGAATTTTAGTCTTTCTTTGCCATTCATTGACAGTAATACAATATACTACAGTCTTGATTATTTTATAGTCAGGGCTGCAAGTTTCATATTTATTCTTTCTTTTTCTTTCTTTTTTTTGGGGGGGGCGGTGCTTTTGGATCACTATGCTTAGGGGTTATTCCTGGCTCTGCACTCAGAAATTACTCCTAGCAGTGCTTGGGGGACTGTATAGGATGCAGGGGATCGAACCTGATTGGACGTGTGCAAGGCAAACACCATACTCGCTTTCCTGTTGCTTTGTTTTTCCAAGTTTTGTATTCACATCTCAACTTAAGGCATGTTCTTTTTTTTATTAGATTTTTTTTATTCATAGTATTATATGTTCATGCTATGTAAATTGGGAAACAGAATAGTGGAAGATGTAATACAAATTGCCTGTCATATTGTTCAAACACCCAGGGGTGATAACACAGTACATTCCAGAAAATCAGGTAGCCAGGATGTTGGTCAAATAATAGCTTACTTGTGCACATGCAGTGCCTTGAATCTGATCTCATTGCCCCTTGAATAGCCCTGGGCCCCAGAGCCCTGCTGGGTGTGGTCTCAACAAGTAATGGCAACAAGAAGATAACATAAATCAAACCATGTTTTCTTAAGTGTTACCTTAATAAAATCTGGATAAATGTCAACATTCATTTAATGTAACTTTCTTTTTTTTTTTTTTTATAATTTATTTCTTTATTGAATCATTGTGGGAAAAGTTACAGAGCTTTCGGGTTTAGGTCTCAGTCATGTAAATATCAAACACATTTCCCTTTACCAATACTTATTTTTAACTGGGAACCCCATTAGAACCCCACCTCCCACCCCGCCCAATTCCTGTGAGGCAGATGAGTTCTAGTTAATACTCTATCTACTTTGACTAGATACATTGTTTCGATAGAAGATGCACCATTATTGTTTAGAGTTTACGACCCCCACCCCCCCAATCAGACATGCTGAAACGGCGCTGTGAAAATGATTTGCTTTCTACAGCTGGGTTTAAGAATAAAATGATGTCGCCTGGCACGCGGTTCTGGATTTCTGCTATTTTACTTATTAACCCTGGAAGTATTTCTATTAAAAGTTAGATAGTTAAGAGATTGGTTTCTGTACTCTGGAGTCGTGGCTGTGCTGGAGAGCCGCTCGTGGGGGACAGCTGGTGACCTCGGTCGGGCGTGAAGGACGGGACGGAACGCCCCCCATCCCATGAGGTTCCCCCCCCCCCCCCCCCCCCCCCGCGGCTCAAACCTGCTGTCCACAAGGCTCTGGTGCGGCCGCCATCTTTCTTTCCAGAGAGGAGCCGGGGAGTGGGTCAACACCCTTTCCCCTCCGGGCAGGCATGCTGGTGCGGTTTAACACATAGTCCATTTGCTTTTCTGCTCCAAGCGGGTGGTTTTCTGTGCTAAGTCCTTGTGCTTCCGGGGCCGTGGCCATGCTGGAGAGCCGCTCGTGAGGGGCAGCTGGTGACCTCGGTCGGGTGTGAAGGACGGGCCGGAACGCCCCCCGTCCCATGAGGTCCCCGCCGCCCCCACCCGCGGCTCAAACCTGCTGTCCATAAGGCTCCGGTGCGGCCGCCCTCATGTAACTTTCTTGAAATTATTAGTTATTTATATAAAGTAATTTCAATGTCTGCTCAGTATTTTACTTAGCTCATATGTATAAACATAGCAGATACGTGATTGATCATTTTCCCTGCTGAAATTTGAGCTTCCTTTTTTTTGCTACCTATAATCCTTTTCACGGCAGAGCCTGGCAAGCTACCCTTGGCATATTCAATATGTCAAAAACAATAACAATAACAGGTTTCATTCCCCTGACCCTGAAAGAGCCTCCAGTATGGCACCGTTGGGAAAGACGAGTGAGGAGAGACTGCTAAAATCTCAGGGCTGGGACGAATGGAGACCTTACTGGTACCTGCTCAAGTAAATCGATGAACAACGGGTTGACAGTGATACAGTGATATTCCTTTAGGGTAACAATAGAAGCAAATATTTACCATGTACAGACAATGAAAATATTACGTATATTACCAGTTTACTCCTATAACTGCTTTTTTGAGACAGGCAGTCACATTTTTACATTTGAGGCTTAGGAGTCTTTTATTTATTTTTGGTTTGGGGTCACACCCAACCATGCTCAGGATTTACTCCTGGTTCTGTGCTAAGGAATAACTCGTGGTGGTGCTTGGGGGATCACATGGAATGCCAGGGATCTAACCTGGGTCAGCCGTATGGATGGCAGATGCCTTACCCACTGTGCTGTCGATCTGCCCCATGGCTTAGGAGTCTTGAGAACATGGGAGACTTGACTGAACTCTCAGAATTGTTACATGATGTCAGTGGCATTGGAATGTCAGCCAGGTAGGTCTCTGTGACTCCACAGTTTATTCACTGAGTGTCATTATCACGGTCATGGTCCTCCCATTGCTCATCGATTTGCTCGAGCGGGCCCAGTAACGTCTCCATCATGAAACTTGTTGTTACTGTGTTTGGCATATCGAATACGTCACGGGGAGCTTGCCAGGCTGTGCCATGCGGGCGAGATACTCTCGGTAGCTTGCCGGGCTCTCTGAGAGGGGCGGAGGAATCGAACTCGGGTCGGCCATGTTGGCTGCTTGTAAGGCAAACGCCCTACAGAGGATTTTATGCTCATCTCTGATTATTTCTATAGAATAGATACCCATGCATAAAATGTTTGGATCAGTGATAAGCACATTAAATGAGACCCTTTAACAGTGAATTTGTGAATAATCTGTTTAAAAAGTTTTTGTTTATATTTCTACAGCTTGTACTTTATATTGTTAAATTTTGGATGTAGGTATTTGTAGAAATGCATGTTTGCATTGATCACATTTCTCTTTCTCGTACTCTGTCAGTTACGAATGTTATTTTCAGACCACCTGGGAGTAGTGTGTGTATTTATTTTTAATTCAGAAGTTCTGTATTTAAATGGGACTTTTCCTGTCCCTCGTTTCTTCCTGATGTTTATTTCTGGGGAAAAAAAATCTCAGATTAGTTTTCCTGAGGGGTATTGAGTCAGAATGCATATTAGTAAATAGATGTGAAATCTGCAATCAATTAAATATTTTCCCACTGGCCTTGTGCTCAGCCGTTTCTTCCATATTCCAAAGATACTAGCAAGGAGTGAAACTGGCAGGTTTAATTAACATTTCATTTTGTTTACTTTTTTCAGTTCACTTTGGCTCTCTGACAAAAAATGCCAGTGAGCTTTGAAAACCTACCTGAAGGTAGGAAAAAAGCAAATTATAAGTATGTTATCAGCCTGGGAAATTTTATCATTGTTCTTTTCCAAATAAAAGTTTCCATGTTATGCACATACCTGCATTCAGTTTCAAGGAGAATAAAAAATATAAAATTGAAATCATCCTACTCTAAAGAGGAATTCTGTAAACAGTACTTTTTCCCTACTATTTCATGTTTTTTTGAAGTCTTTCCTCCAGATAGTATCTTTGAGTTTTTTCAGTTATTTGAGCTTAATTGGACCTCCCCTACTCTTTGTCTTTCCCCCAAATTTCTCTTAATTTGGGCAACTGCCGCAGCCAGTATGTATACTTGACCTGTTATTTTTTTTTTTTAATTATTTATTTATTGAATCACTGTGGGAAAAGTTACAGAGCTTTCGGGTTTAGGTCTCAGTCATGTAGATACCAAACACATTTCCCTTTACCAATACTCATTTTTTAACCCCGAACCCCAATAGACCCCCACCTCCCACCCCTCCCAATTCTTGTGAGGCAGATGAGTTCTAGTTAATACTCTATCTACTTTGACTAGATAGATTATTTCGATAGAAGATGCACAATTATTGTTTAGAGTTTACGACCCACCCCCCACAATCAGACATGCTGAAACAGCGTTGTGAAATGATTTGCTTTCTACAACTTGGTTTAAGAATAAAATGATGTCGCGCGGCCGCGCGGTTTTGAATTTCTGCTATTTTACTTATTGACCCTGGAAGAATTTCTACTAAAAGTTAGCTAGTTAAGAGATTGGTTTCTGTGCCCTGGAGTCGTGGCCGTGCCGGAGAGCCGCTCGTGGGGGGCAGCTGGCGACCTCGGTGGGGCGTGGGGGACGGCCCACAAAGTCCCCCTTCCCATGAGGTCCCAGCCGCTCCCGCCAGCCCCGGCTCAAACCTGCTTTCCACAAGGCTCCCGTGCGGCCGCCATCTTTCTTTCCAGAGAGGAGCGGGCGGGCCGGTCAACGCCCTTTCCCCTCCGGGCAGGCTTGGTGGCGCGGTTCAACA